CTACCACGTCTATGACTCCATGTGCACCTCGACACCGCAGACCAGTCACACCACTCACAACATAGACCCGCGCCCCCTCGGAAACACTTACCATGGTAGGACACGATTTCTATATGCAAACCGTTACGGAAAAGACCGAAACGTGCGGAAAAGGCCGAGTAACACCGACCGAAAGATTATTGATCTGCTACCCAGGGCTGGCACAGACACGTAAGCCATGGGGGATCTTCATTGCCATTGGATCAACATTTCTTCATAACATTTCTTGACGGAATAGTATTCACCTGTACATTTGTCGATGTGGTTTCTACGATAAGATTCAAAGAACGCCTTACCTGAGTTGCATGGGTGATGGGTCGGCCTCCGGGACTGTCTTGTTTTTCCAAGTGGGTCGAGGCCTCCGAGCCCAAGCCTCCCCCTGTGTTGCTTAAGCCCCTTGGATGTTTGTTGCATGAGGTACCCTTGACATACCTGCATGTCTTATGCGGGGGGGCGCCGTTGATAGTTTTCAATAGCTACGGAGTATTGGAGGCCATCTCCGCGGACCTCGTGGGATGCCCCCCATATTGCTCTGTACTGATACTAAAGGTATGCCTCTCCAGTATTTCTTTACATGCCGAGAGGCCCAAGCTTCTCAATACATCCGCGAGGCCCCTATCAGCATGACCTGTATTTGTTATGGCCATTTAGTAGTACGGTGCATTGGCGAATGAACCATCTGGTGAATGCAAAGCCAAAGGACCGACTCTAGTTGGTTGAGGCTGTTCTTGGGGCTTAGTCTGATGAGCACCGCCTTCTGTCTTATGCAAGCTACAGCTGTCAGTGAGACTCGTTGCGGTGTCCGTCCAGTGACAGATGGTGTCACCGTGTCATCCCATGTTATCAGGCACATCTGCTTCAGAGCTTGTTTCTGGCCCCTAGAAGAGTCTCGCAGATCGACACTGGCAGGGCCGAGCTTAGACTTGGCCGGGGGGATGCCCCTTAGGCTCATGTCTCAAAATATAAAAGCTCTACCTGAATTAAAGCCGTGGAAAACAACTCTCTTCATGGCGCAGTCTATCAGATCGGATGACATCTCGTACCCCGTCGAGTCAAAGTCCAGCATTGCATACTGGACGCGTGGCAGCGACCGATCTGGCGGCACATGTTGACATTCTTGGTGATCATGCAAACTAACCCTGACGCCGAGCTACAAAAGTTCTTGGCATGCCTAAAATACAGCAGCCAATCAATGATATCAAGCTAGATCATTCCTAATCGTATCACTCACCAGCCAAGTTGTCGTTAGGGTTCCCACCAGATGAAAGTTTGTCGAACATCAATGGCAATGATACCGGCAATTAGTGCAGAGACAATTCGACCGGTGACATCGAAGCGCATCGCGTTCGTCGGAGAATGAGCAGGACGTTCCCCTTGACATTCCCCATGTCGTGTCCAGCCATGTCAAGCCAAGTTGAGGTTTTGCCGGCGTTGTTAACTAGCGTGGCTCACGACGGGTCATTGGGGCCCGGTGTGGGTAGGTATGTTTGATGGTTCTGTATAGGTAGATTATCCAAGTATGGCAAGTATTCCGACCAAAAGCTGGAGACGTTTGTACTAGCGAAACGCGAGCGCGAAGCCCCTGATTCACCTCCAATCACCAATTTGTGCGTTCAGCACTGAAAGTTGTCGGTACTAGGTTCACAGTGATGAGGACACTAACTCAGAAGAACTTGCTTTAGGAGATGACTCTTAAAGACAAAAATAGAGTTGACAGCCAAGGGCATCGTTGTCCATCGGCTTTAGCTATCTATCTAGTCAGGCCTAATTGTAGGAAACGTCAAGCCTCAAGCTCTAATCGTTGGTTTGTACGGATAGAGACTCGAAATAACTGCGATACTACGTTGCAAGCGTTCGTGTTCTAGGCAGCAGCCAATTTGAGTTTCACATGTTCCAGGCCTAGGTTCCCTGCAGACATAAAAGCCCGGCGCTAGAAGCACGGAGCTTCGGAGGCTTGGAGCCATAGACTGACCTACAATTGGCGGCGGCCTTGCGCCGTTATTCCGAATCGCAGCACAGACGACCGGCACTCGATGCCGAGTCCAACTTACCGTTAGAAAATGTGACCTGGGCAGGGATGTTGGCTGTCGAGGAAGATCTGAGACTGGGCCACTTGAATCTCCAGACTCCACGGACCACAGGGCGAGAGGTATGTCCATCTCAGGGGAGACTGGGAATGGACTAGGAGCGGGAGGGTGTTATCGGCCAGTAACACTCTTTCGAGAAACCCCGAGAAACGTGACGAGGTTGAGACTCGGCCTCGTAGGGCTGAAAGAAGCGTTTTACTCAATCTATCGGCGTCGCCGTGTGATCCACGCCGACCAGGCAACTGTTTTTCTTGTCTCGATGGGCTCAGTTTGGACAATCTGCGGAGTCTTCAAAACTGCCTCACCATCCCGGCCCCATAATTGATGAGGTAAAAACTTACGTTTTGTCTGTGTGATTGGTTCCATCGTAAAAGACTAAGCCTAGCGCCAAAACGCATGTCGATTCTGACGAAGGGGCTGACGTCGCAGGGACAAGCCAGGGGCACACGGCGGCCGAGGGTCGCGATCATCCGTATCCGACACCTTGGCTTTATATAGTGGACGCCGCCCGAACGCGCCAATCTTGGCATGTGTATCCCCTGTCTTAGTTCCTGCGCCCGCACAACCCGATTCCCGAGAGAGCCTCACTACCGACGGTGTACTGAGCTCAGGATTCGACGGCCTGTCAGTGGCTACGTTGCCCTCTAACCAGTGAACCCTATGCGCCTAGAGACGCACGCATATACACACTACACAACCGAAGCCGACAATGTCATTGGATACCTCGATCCCGGGTACTGGAGTCTTCTCGGTGGTACCCGCACCCAAGAAGCCCAAGCGGACTAGGGCGAGCGCATCAAAGGTCAGGACCGGATGTCTAACATGGTTTGTGACAACACTGATGCCACTGTAGTTTATTAAAGACTAGTTCAACTGACGCCACCTACCCCATTGACAGCAAGTAAGGCTTCTCTGCCTCTTCCTACAACTACCAACTCTGCCTTATCCTTCAACGTAGATAACCCCAGTTCCCCAGTAGCTGACCATGATTCCGTTGTCAGAGCCCGGCATGTGAAATGCGATGAGGCGAAGCCTTTCTGCAAGCGGTGTAGCAAGGACAAACACAAGTGCGATGGGTATCCGACGTCACTTCCGAACAAACGCCCGAGTCCGGCATCATCATGCTCGTCCCGTTTGACACCTCCAGTCCGGCGACGGAATATCAACTCAGTAATGCAGCTATCGCCACCTGTTGACTGGGACGTTTCCGGCACGACCCTCGAGAGGTTAATGTTCCATCACGTCAACCGATGTACTGTCCCGGATTTCGGAACCGCAACACCACTAGCCAAGCTATGGAGCAACTACATCTTACCGCTGGGATACTACTCCGACTCTGTGAAGCACGCCATTATAGCACTCGGTGTAGCTCACAGGGGATTTCTGGAGAATCCCTACTTCGACGAAGAACCTTCCGAATCCGCGTTAGCTTTTAACGATCTAGCTGTGAGGCACTACCGAAAGGCCGTGTCGGAGACTATACAGATCATGGCTGACCCGTCACCCGTCAACATTCGGATCACGCTCATCTGCTGCCTAGTATTCGTATGTTACGAGATTGTGCGAGGCCAATACGATAAGGCCATCCAGCACCTCAAGGCCGGGTCCAAAGTTCTCGAGTCACTTCACCAAGCAGCGATATCCAATCAACGTGACCCGTCATCAGTATCGGCCTACGACAGACAGCTAGCAGACACGGTCAAGAAGCACTTTGACCAGTTGTGCGACATTACAAATATGTTCACCTGTGTAGGCATGGACGCCTCCATGCTTATCGAAGACGAGGTCGTTCCCGATCTATCTTATTTCACACAGCCAGAATCCGAAGACGAGCGCAATACACCATTCGAAAACGTATCCGAAGCCCGGTACCGTCTGCACTTTGTCGAGTTGACGTTTTCAGACGCCTTTGACGATAGCTGGTTCTGCGAATACGATAACTGCTGGCACTCGAGCTCCTCGCCCTGCCAAGCACCGGAGCCTTCGCAAGAAGTGCAGGCCTTGCAGAAGGCGGCGTGGGATGAGGCAGCAAGGCTTTTCGACGTTTGGTGCTGCCGTTTCGATCTGCTACAGGAGACACTGCCAGACAATCTAGAACCCGCGGACTTGAATGAGTTGAAAGCTCTTCGCTTCTCCCGCAAGAGTTGGGAGATTTTCAATGCCCAAGAAGGACCGTGTGCCATGAAAAACGGCAATATGGCCGACCTTCACGGACTCGTTGATATGGCCGAGGAGATTGTGGCCGGCAGAGACGGACTTCCCCGGCCGACGTTTGCGCTCGCAGCAGACATTGTGCCCTCTCTCTCGTACATTTGCGCCTTCTGCGACAATGTCGACCTTGAGCGGAGGATCGTCGATGTTCTCCGTGGTATGAAGCGGAGGGAGGGCATGTGGGACAGCAGGGAGCTGGCGAATCTGTATGATCTCGTCATCCAGGCCAAGACTGGCAACCAGTGGAAGGACGAATACAACTGGGAGACACTCCCAAGCCTTGCGAGGATGATGGCAAATATGTCGTTGTCTGGTTCGGGGGATCGAGCGGGGCCGCCTAGTCCTTTGACATTGCTTTGAGAGTAGGGCAATGACGGAAGCGTGGAGTTTTAGGTGATACAAAGAAGGGATTTCTGATTCGTTCCAAGGCGGAAACTTTTACTTCATGATTGTAGTAAGGACGACTCCGTTTGGTCGTCAACATTATGGCCCGACAATACTGGCTGAATGTGTTCAATTAGATCATCACACCTGGGAGCACAGATTTTAGGCAGAAACTTCGCCGATGAACTTTCAGAGACTAGGGGAGGGTCGTACTAGGTACCGTGTACGAAAGAAATGAAACACCCTATATTGAAATGTAGCTACTATGCAGAACAATAGAGTCTAAGTATGTACAAGAAGGGTATCAACTTTTGAAGAAAGTGTCCATGATTTCAATCTAGCCAAATCGCGTCTACGTGCGTAGCGGTAGAGATTGGCGGTTGTTCAAATCATGCTCTGTGATTCGTCAAACATCATTCGTTACTCCAATACGACTCGCCACCCACGACCATCGAGGGTGGTTTGCAGTAGCTAACACAGGCGACTTCGGCTCTCATACTCGTAGATCATGAAGTGCAGCTGAGAGTTCCGTACTTGTTGGACACGGGCGTAGTGTCTAGCAAGAAGAGAACGTAAGCAGATGGTCGAGGCTCATCCGATAAGGAGAAATGAGGCCACTTACCAAGCTCGATTTGGCTCTCGGAGCCGTTGCAAGAGCAGCTCAACCAGACTCGGGTGGTGCCGAAGATCGGCCCGTAGACCGGGTCCTCGATGCGGTAGACATAGCAGTCATTGCAGGCATCACCAAAGTTGCCCTTGCCGCTGTACTGCACCGGGAGAGTCAGCAACAGAGCGCACATGTGGTATGAGATATTTTTGCATACCTGAATCTTGGTGCCCGTGTAGGTGAAGCAGGCGTTGAGGTCGAGGGAAGTCGACTTAACCGTGCCCTTGCCGTCACCGGCGTTGCAGTTCGCCGTCAGAACCTGGGTTGCGGGGTCGATGTGTTCGTCCGTGCAACTCTTGCTAAAGTCCCCTGCAGCTACTAGGGACGCTAGCATGGCAACGGCGATGGAGAAGGTCTTCATTGTGTGGGTATGACTGGATCTGAGAGTTCACAGATTGTTTGAGACGGTTGTATCAAAGCTTGATGTTGCTGCTGTAAAACTTGTTGTTCAGACCTGGATTCTTGGAGAGGCACATTCATCCTTTAATAGCCAGATGCGAACATCGGAGAATAAGTTATTTCACCGGGTCTTTTTTACTTCCGCATCATGGTTCAGGGCGATGGAGTTTGCAGCGTCGTATGCTTCGCTGCTTTCGGTTTGCCGTTGCAACCGCGGGATGCGTTCATTTGGCCATTAGAACGTGACATCCAATACACCCAGTACCCAATGGGCAGGTGCGGAGCATCACTTTCCATGTTTGTGAATCTTAAAATCCAATCAGGGAGGTGAACGGCGTGGGACTGCGAGGGCGTCTATCTGCGCAAGCTTCACCAGAACTTTCGTCTTTCAACGAAGCGGACCCGGCCAAAACCCCGATGAGGATGGAGCCGGCCGACGGGCGGTGACAACACATGCTGTTTGCCGTGTGATTATAACTCAGCTTCTAAGCAGGATGTTTGCCTCCCTTCTCGGACGAACCAACGGTGAGGCACGCCCGCCATGTAAGGTTACAATTAAGGCTTTGTCACAGCGGGACATTATGCAAGGGTTCCAAGATACCTGCATGCAGTGGATCTCTGACATCCGGTCTAGACGCAGATCCTGACATGAAATCTCCTCATTTCGATCGTCCCGCGCGGTACTCGACGCTAGCCTTGATTCTCTCACGTGTTGAGTGGACGGGCAGATCTTTCCGATCACGGGTCGTGTGAGTCTCAATCAAAGTCATAAGCGGTAAGGCCGGATGGGTATCTACATGGAGTGATGGTTCGGGCATTGGGGTCGCTGACCTGAAAGTCCGAGCACTTGTCAGTCATTATGTTGAGAATCCTGAGGTCTTACTTCCTGGTGAGCTCTCGGGACTGATAAGCTGTAACATATGTTTATTGTAGAGAAATATCTGCTTACTCAACAACGGTGAGAAAGGACAATAATGGAAGGTGAGTGCCAAGAGGGGACAATGAGAATAAGTACTGATCGTGGCGCCGGACGGCAAAAAGGTTCGGCAGGCCTGATTCCCTTCCTTGCATCGTGCCCCCGCCCCCACCTCCCGAGAAACCGGGTGGTCCTTCACAGTTGCCACCAAACAAACCCGGATGGTGGTTATCATACCATAGGTCCAGGCCATGCTCACGGGAACTAGCGCATCAAAGGTCCCGGGCTCTGGACCAAACAACTGAAACGGTTGGTTGTGAACTATCTTACATGTGATTAGACTCGGGCAACTTGTTGCTGATTTGTGACGGTTGAGATATTGGAAGCTCCTTGAAAACCCAATAGACCGACAACATGAACAAGCTCTCCACGATCATGCGAGAGACATGAAATCATAAGGAGACGAAAGGGCCGACTTCGTCACATCACGCATCTAGAATGCCGATGAGACCAGTCGTCTGGCCCTTGATGTTCGAGATCAGTTGGCCATAACTTCTGCAAAGACGTTCACTATGCCAGGTGATGGATTACATGTACTAACCTACCAAGCGATGCCCGTAGTGACCAGTGGCCCGATTAACCATGTTGGTTCAGGAGGAGCCTAGCTTGTCCTTATCGGTATCTTGCTGAAAGTAGATACATGCAGTATGGCATATGCACCTCGGTGCTTACCCCTTTTCTCAGGAACACAAATCTCCTTTCAAGCGACTTTCATTGGTCATGGAAAAAGCAAGTAAAACAAGGTTCATGTAACTGTCAACCTCCAAGGAGATTGACATTCGGAACTCTGAGTCCACAAGACAGGTCATGCAGGCAGGAGTTTGGGTCAATTAGCAGCGCCAATCATGACGGAACAAGCAAACAGTCGTTGAACTAGGCCGATAGGATTGTCAAGTGACTTCTTGGTACTCGGACTTATTGAACATAGTGTTGCATTGTTGTGGTTGATCAACTCCAGCCTTTTGTGCCCGCACCTATTCGCATCCGTGGCAGGCCCCTGAAGACTAAGAGACGAGCCTCCGCAGTACAACGATCACAAATTGCGCGTGTCTGGCGGACGGACTCCTTGCTGTATGTTATGGACGAGTCAGAGACCGGGCAACACAGGGCTTGTAGCTAGCGTACCGACATAGAGTTGTTGGGGTGTCCTCGTTCGAAGAGAATGATTCAAACCATGACCACTTACCCAGTGTTCTCTCAGGGGCGTTCACCGCAGGTCCTTCTGCACTGAGAAATGGCATGTCCATCGTAAATTCCAAGATCATCCATGCATTGCTGGACGCACTGATGTGACTTGTTAGCTAAGAGCTTGTCTCTTGGTTCATCGTGCCCACATGCAGATTGTGAGACACTTACAGCAGAAAGCTGACGCTTTTCAGCCTCTACGGGGCTTGCCGCTGAGGCCACAGCCATGATAGCGGCCAAGAAAGCGATGGCGGAGAAACGCATTTTACGACTTGAAGGTTTTCGACTCGAAGGCAGTGAGTGCTAGAAGTTGGAGGATGTTCAATCGGCTGATGTGTCGTGGATTGTGAGAGATAGTTGAGATATGGTCAGCAGCGTCGCTGTCTTTATAGCTCTCCAAAGGCAATAACTTCAAATTGGGACTGTGTAGAACCGTCCTCAGAACATCCTACTCTGGAAGAGATAGTAGTGAGACTTCCTAGCCATCTTGGCGGGGCGCAAGCTAATTGACAACTACCCTATGGGAATTGCAGTTGTAGATGTAAGGGTAATGGTGAAATCCTATAGGATCTGCCAAGCTACAAAAATAAGCGTGGCAGCGTTCTCAGATTCCTATATGGGACTCAATCGGCAGAATGATAAGACAGCCTGAATTCCAGTTCATTTGCCTTCCTCTAATGAACTAGGGGCTTCGCAATTGTTGTGCGACCCCAGCATCCGTATCTCTAGAGACGATCTAGTACGTGGCGGTTCGACTGTGCTGCGGTGGCACAGCGCTCAATCTGAATGGCGAAGGCTGCAGAACACCCCGGTCGTAATTCCCTCCCCTCTTTCTACTTATTTATTTACCAGGATCCATAGACCACACCTAACTGGATTCTAGCGAGCAAATCGTTGTTGATGTATTTGATCGTTGTTGAACAGAAAGTCTCGAAGGCCCTATAAAGACGAAAACTTGGAAGGTTTAGGCATGACCTCTAGCCATGCTCGACACTCAACTGGCCTCAAAAGGGTAAAGTACAAGCTTCTTGAGCATCATTGGCTATCTCGGACTTGTTCAGTCAAAGCTTCTAGAGCCCAGGACGATCCGAACGATCCCCGCCCAGGGCCTAAAGCTTGAAACTCAATGCGCCATACCTTGTGATCGAAAAGCAATCCATCTTCTAACGACATCCGAGTTGAAGGGCAGCTCCGATACATGTTGGAGCTCTCCAGGTTTCCCATAGCCAGTACGGTCCATGACTCTTGCAATATTAGGGAACACCAATCTAAAGGATCGCTGCTAAACTGTAGATGTCACGCAGATCTGAGAGCACAGGAAGCGACTGACTCATTGCTCTTGGGCTTCCTAGAATAAAGTTATTAGCTCTCTGTGCACGAGACAAAGACAGCCATATCTTGAGACTGAGAACGCGTCGTGTACTCCCTTTGCACGTGCTCGGGACTTTATCAACCAGCCGACGGCCTGGTGCCCAAATTCAGGTTAATATGGATGAAAAGATGTCCAGGCCGTCGGCTATCTATTCAGGCGTTTGAGCAAAATGTTATTGCAAACCATCTCGCCGGGGCACGCGGAGCCTGATCTGGGCCATTCGTCTCATTGCCTTATGACGCGCAAACTCGGTAGAGAGGTTCCTCGTCGATGAGGGTCATTATTCAGTAATAGCTGCCACGTGGGAAGAGAGTTTTAGACAAAAGTTTATTTTATCATCGTATCACGACATGTTGTAAACGAAAGAGAAAGGCCCGCGCCTCCCACGGATCGAGTCATCCCCGAATTTGGACCGAACTAGGGAAGCAAACACCCTGGGCCCTTGCGGAGTTGAACATGCCGCTCCAAGTCCCGTGGGAACCTGCCGTCTCTTCATGCTTTGGAACAGCGGCTGCAAACCTTCTGCAAGCCTACGGCAGCGTGGCTCGCGTGGGCAGTAATTTGGACTCGCACTTCTTTAGCTAGCAGACAGTCTGACTCGGGACGACGAACTTGACGATGCCCACCGTCCGTTTTGAGTTTGGCTTCGCACCGACAACTATGAGTACCTTACGTTGCCCAAATGTCTCATCCGCATGCGCCGCCTCCCCGACGGGCCTGGGTTCCTCCGATCCACATAGCTTCTCGTTTCGCTCAATCTAGACTGCAACCGGCTATAGTGACAATTAGTGGCCTCATAAAGAGAGTGGAGCCCCCATCCTTCAAACACGCGCAATGATCTCGTAATCATGGCTGGGCGTTGGGACTGGACTTTTTCCATCACGTTCATGATTACGCCAGGTGGTCGATACGAGTTGCTTCAAACCCCAGCGGATGACACGCAGTCATGAGCCGAACCAGACTGCGCATCGCGGTTTGGCTAGCATGCCTCGCCGTGGATATGACAGCAGCATCGGCCTCCATACAACTTGTCGCCGTGTCGAATGCGACTTCACCCGGGGTAACATCGCCAGCCCCCCTTGACCCGGCAGCAGCCGCAATGGAGCAGATGGCAGCCTCATTATCCCCATGCGCAGTAAGACTCCACTGATCTACCATTCTTAGTGCACGTTGACTCAGAGTCTTGTAGTTGAATTGCACAACGACTGAGGTCGCAAAGTCATCCTGTAACGCAACCGACTTCGCGTGTATTTGCGCGAACCAACTGCTCAACAGAAACATTGGCGCATGTTTGGCACAGAATTGCACCGTGACTGAGTCTCTACGTATGGCATCACTTACTTGGAAACGGTTCTCTTTCAGAGCTCATCTACCTCTTTGTGTGTAAGACAATGGACATACACTATGCTAACAGACGTTCAACTATTAGAGGCACAGAAATACTCGAAAACGTCTTGTAGAGTACCCATTCGTCGCAACACGGATCAAGCTCCCATCACTTGGACTCTCTTCTCTATTGCCTTGGTGGCTCTAGCTGCTCGACTGATCTCCAAAATCCCCTCTCTCAATCCTGCGTTTTCGTTCGGCTGGGATGACTGGTTAATCCTTGCTTCCACGTTGGTGCTGATACCAGCAGACATCGGATCGCAAATATGTGTGTTCAGTGTCCGCCATTGGTACTCAAGAAGCATGGCTGACCATATTTGTTTGTGTAGTGATTGGCATAGGCTTGGGACAGGACATATGGATGGTAACGCCAGACAATATTACCCAGATACTCTTGGTAAGTAACTTGCCTCATATCCTCTCCCAATTACTGAGGGATTGGTAGCATATGCTTACGCAGTCCCAAGCTCTTTTTTGTGGAGGAGCTCCTCTACTCATTTGTCGTCGCTGTCACCAAGCTGTCAATTCTCATCTTCTATCTGCGTCTATTCGCCGAGGCCTGGTTCCGTATTGTTTGCTATGCTATGATAGGAATTACCACAGTCTATGGCGTTGGGCAGATACTAGGTATCGTCCTCGTTTGCTCACCAGTCAGCTACAATTGGACTCAATGGGATGGGGAGCACCAAGGAAGAGTACGTGCACAAGAAGTCTTCGCTTTAGCCTCTTACCGTTCTGTCAAGACCATCAGCTGACGTCCAATACTACTTTCCAGTGCGGAAACGTTAGTGTCATGGCATTTATCAATGGCGGATTGAATATTGCCATCGACCTCATTCTATTCATCCTGCCGGTCACTCAATTGTAAGACGATGTCAAAGGTCGTCCAGAACTTGCTTACTGATCAAAACGCCTAGCATCACTGTCTCCTGGACTCTCAAGAAAAAGATTGGTGTCAGCCTCATTTTTCTGGTCGGTCTATCGTAAGTACTGCCCAAGAGATCACAGCATGGTGTTGGCTGGTATTAATGATTTCGTAGGGTGACGGCCTCTAGTGGAATCCGGTTAGCTACATTGGCAAAGTTCGGCGGAACTCAAAATCCAACTTGTGGGTGGGAACTGGTAAACTTTAGAGTCAACGATTGACACTGAAATCTGCATCTAGATGATTACAAAGAACTGTCGATTTGGTCGCTGGTTGAGATGCATATGAGTGTCATCTGCGCGTGTATGCCGGGGATGACTTCTTTTATTCGACGCGTATCCCCCCGAATGTATCGATCGAAGCAGTATACTCCCCAGCCGCGAACAGGGCGCTCCGTCGCTCGCCGGATTCAAGACACTTTGGCACGCATCACTACAACCAGGATCACGGTCAATCGCTCAGGCTGGGAGAGCTCACGAGCAACCGGGAAGAGCAGTGGCACGGAGAGCTCAACCACTACCAGCCCAAGACCAAATGAGTACAAAGACTACTTGGCTTACGCATCATACGCGGACGGGGAGGAAAGGGGAACTGAGTTGGGCACGTTGAGGAGTAGAGAAGTTACATAAACATTGATTAACTTGTCGCAGTAACTTAATACGAGAAGAACGCATAGTTGAGAAAGAATCATTACTTCTTCTAACATCGCTTTGAACCTGTGGCTCACACTATCGGCTAGTAAAGCCGGGGGGACATTGATGTGCTAAAGTTCCGCCAATGATGATGTAATTCCATCATATGTCCAGTTGAACTTCATTCTCTGCATTATGATCTCGGGAGAAACTTTGGCTGCGGCCACTCTTGAATGCAGCTGAACCTGAGACGCTCTTGTACATCTGACTTGGTCCCACTGCTTCAGCTTATCAAGCAAAACTTCTTTGGTAAAGTCTGGGTGAACTAGGATCCTGAATGCTTCAGCATCTTCCAAAGCTTGGTTGGCTCCTTGCCCTTGATACGGCACCATAGGGTGGGCCGCATCGCCTATCAAAATCGTCGAATCTTTTGTATAGGTATTCAATGGGTCTGCATCGCACAGTTGATAGAGTTTGACATTGAACAAGGTTCTTAAAGTATTGCAGTTAGCCTATCGCGTCTGAACTTTTCTGCTTGGAGCATAGAAAGAGACTGCGAGGAGAAGAATAGCTTACTTCATAAGTTGTTTGAGCCAAGGTGGGAAGTCCTTGAAACTCTCGAGCATTTCATATACATCGCCATCTTTACTCCAAGACTCTTCAGTCTGGTGCCGGAGCATGGTGTCTGGGATAGCGCAGGCAAAGTTCATGACTTCAAGATTACGACAGGGATATACAACAACGTTTCGGTTCGACCCGTCTGTCGCAATGAATGAAGACAAAAAGACGCCGTTGTCATAACGTAGCACATCCGGGATTTCTCCGAGAATATCCGACATGTTGGATCGGTTAATGGTGAATCTGTACAGAGAAAGGTTCGCGGGAGTGGATTCGGCATTACACGGACCAGCAACGGCTCGACGGACCTTCGAATGAATGCCGTCCGCACCTGAAAATGTATAAGGTTCGGTTTTTCTAGTTATGGACACCGACAAGACGTAGACAAGACGTACCAATTATGAGATCCGCTTTGATCTCGGACCCATCCTCGAAGATTACAACTTGATCTTGAGGGTTGACTTCCACAACGCGAGAGTTGTAAACAATCTTGGCAGGACGGCCAGGCAAACCTGGATCGAGGCCTGTTGCTACTCGTAGCAAAGCATCTTTGAGGTCCTGCCGGTGGACCATCCACCACTCTGAACCAAAGCTTTGGAGGCAGTCAATTCTTGATTCGTTAAGTAAGTTGCCGCTCTGGTCATAACTCCTGAAGCCATCTGACACAACGGCTTTCAAGGACTCTATAGTAAGTCCAAGCCTGGCTGCCATTTTCGAGCCATTTGGACCTAGCCCGACAGCGGCACCGCTTTCTGTCGCTTCTGGGCTGTTACGCTCGTATATGGTGACATCATGAGCCTCTCGCAAGACGCGTGCTGCGGCGAGTCCGGCTATGCCGCCACCGATAATGGCAACTCGAAGTGTTATGGGGCCTGGCATCTTGATGTCCAGGCAGTAAAAGCTTGCCTCCAGGAGTTGTAATCTCGAAACAAGTTTCTATTAAAGGGAAAGCAATCAGAGGAAAAACTGTGTGATAATAGTTTGAGTTTTATCCCGACCGCGTCTCACTTTCATGTTGACGAATATGATGCATCACTCGGCTATGAGAATGGCCACAGCTTCTCTGAATCGGAACTAACACGAATATCACTATCCCTGGAAGAATCATGACTCGACTCCCGCTTCTACCTCCCGGTATTGAGATAGACTTTGTGTTATGCCCGTCGCTCTCGGACGGTAGGTGGGTTCAGCTAACACCCGGCTTTCGGAAACCGGAGTCCGGAAAACCTATTCGTAGATCTCAACTTTCCGTGCGACCAAAGATCTGTGACTGTGGTGGGGTACTTGGCATTACTCAAGTTTTGAGACTTGCTCCGTCGGATGTTGGCCTCCCTGCGAAAACGGGAACCCGGCCTTCAGGTTCGATGAACTAGCTTGAAGAGAGATGTGTTTGATTTGACTCCACACGCTGAGTCCAACCAGGAGATACTCATTGGCGATTGATTTCTTGCAATTTGTTAGGCACGATGAGTTGTGGGCAACTCGGGGGTATCCTGATCATTTCCAGATCAGGTCGTGTCCTCAATGAGTGATGGCGAAAAGAGGCCGTCTTTTCCGATGTACTTAATGGGCAAAGGGAGCAATACAAGGGAAACTTGAGTGTATTCCTTCATCGACATTTAACTCATTGGGGCACACAATTATTGCCGCAAACTCGAGCCATGTTGTCAACTATATGGACCTGGGCTCTCCTCTGCGGTGTTGCTGCTGTGCTCGCCTATCACCGATCAGTCTCCAAACTATCTGGAATCCCCTTGGTTGGATTCGAAGTGAAAGACCCGAAACAACGGAAAGACCAATACACCTTCAATGCTCCCGGTATTGTGCAGAGAGGATATGAAAAGGTACGCAGCTTCATGCTTTGAGCTAATTATTCCGGTCTAAATAAGTACTTTAGTTCAAAGACAGAATATTTGGCGTAGATACCGCAGATGGTACGAGCAGTTTGCCACAACACTCCTCAAGTATGTGTGCTAACAACGTAGGTCAGGTATCAAACTCATCTTTCCGCATCAATATGTGGACGAGATCTCGAAACAACCAGGGCTTAGCTTCCAAAATTCCCTTGACGAAGTAAGTTCAAGAGAGGAACTGAAAGCCAGATATGCCATGCTAAAGAGCCTAGGACTTACTGATTAACTACACGTACATGGGCGGGTTGAAGCAATTTGCATTGTCTACTTTCAAGCGGGAAATAACACCTCATCTTCGTCAGTGTTCCCTTCAAGATTCTTTCTATGCAGTACTAACTTCGGCATTTTCCAGCCATATTCATTCCGGACTTCATTTCACTTATCGACGGTTTTATCCCCAACGCGCTTGAAGTTCCCAAGTCTGAAGGTATGTCATGTATACATCTTGTCCAATCAGCCTGATCGACTTGCAGGCTGCAGCCAAATTTGGCTAAATCTAATGCCGATAGAATGGACTCCGGTCAACATCTATCCGAAAATGCTTCGCATGCTTGGCATACTTACGGCAAGAGTCATGATTGATAGCGATGCCCCTCACAACGAGACTTGGGTTACTCTTACCACCGAGTATCTACACGCAGGGGTCACACACGCGCATGCTTTGAAGTTCTGGCACCCGATGCTGAGGCTGCTCGTTCACCGATTCGTGCCAGGATACGCTGAGGTTCAGAGGCAACTCAACCTTGGGAGGTCGATAGTTGTCGACGCAATCCGCAAAGTAGAAGAGCGTGAGGAGAACGGAGTACCGGAGCCTCAACCGACGAGTGTGCTCTACCATATGTCTCGCAAAGCACCAGGCACTTCTTCCGCGGTCATCGATATGCATCTCAAGGAGCAATTGAATCTTGCTGTCGGGGGAATACACACAACTTCAGCCGTCCTCACTCAGGCGCTATTTGAGCTTTCTGCGCATCCGAATTATGTTCCAGAGTTGAGAAAGGAAATCATTGACACTTTAGTCAAGTTTGATGGAGAATTTTCAAAAGCAGCTTTGTGGGACATGCACAAGTTGGACAGTTTCATTCGCGAGACTCACCGTTTGAGCTCGCCGAACTTGAGTACGTCAGCCATCAATCATGTGCCCTGAGTGTACCTAACGATGTCACAGCAACTCTACAGAGACGGGCTACCGAGGATGTCACTCTTTCCGACGGTACCTTCATCCCGAGTGGAACGAAGCTCGAGTTTCCAACTTTCGCCATCCACCGTGATAGCGAATTCTTCGACAACGCTGCCGAGTTCGACGGCTTCAGATTCTTGAAATTGCGCCAGGAACATGATAAAGATGGCGGAAAGCATCACTACGTCAGCGCTCGTAAGGATATGCTGGGCTGGGGGCTAGGCAAGACGGCATGTCCTGGCCGATTCCTGGCCGACATTGAGATCAAGCTGATCGTTGCATTCATCCTGATGAATTACGACATCAAGAATCCAGATGGCCAAGGCAGACATTCGCATGTCCATTTTGAGAATCAGGTATGAAATCTCATCTATCAAGGCCACATGGGCAAATACTAAGAATTCAGCAGGTTTTCCCTGATCCTGTCAACCCGGTCCTAATGAAGAGGATTCGGCGAGAGGATATCGATGAAAATGGGCTCATTAGAGAGTAGAAGATAGACATATCTGCCTTTGCCAGAGGGCAGAGCCCCAAAAAAGGAAATATCCATCTGAATTCGATTCCAATGACCGTAAAGCAACCCATAGATGCCTTACTTCGTGTACGCCCCATCATATGACTAGACCCTCAAGTTGATCGCGCTTATCTTATCTCTTATCGATGTGCAGTTCCAATGAAATTTCACTTGATAATACTCGTGATATTTCAGACTTGAATCAGTACAAGTGTGACATCCGCGGACTAAGCGTCATCATTGCACATCCCACCGGCATCGGTGGCCGAACCCTACGATCCCGGGGATCTCCTCGCCATTGTCCACTCAGATCGAAACCATTTCAATGGATGACCGCTTCAGTTAGCTGGAAATCTCCGTCCGAAGTCCGTCCGGGTGCTTGAGTGGCTGGTCTCAACCACTCACTTCCGGCCAGAATGTCCTACTCACGCATCTTTTCGCTGTGTCTTCGTCTTGGTCACACCCCTTTCGGACACAACATTCCGGATTGGAAACAACCCCGTGGACTCATGGTCAGCACCGCTACAATACACTTGATTTTCTGCATGCTAGAGCATGGCCTATCAAATCGGGACGACTGACGATGCTGCGCCGAGGAATCGCGCCGTGAGTAGTCCCACCTTTCCGCTATGATTGAGAGAGTAATGGATACTGATCAAGGCCTAGTGTGACTTTTGCTTCGAAAAAAAGGTAAGCACTTGCTGTATTTGTATCAAAGTTTACTATTCAAGTTGCTTACTGATCATCGAAAAGATCAAGTGTGATAGAGAGGATCCTTGTGCTAATTGTTTGGCGGCTACTGTGGACTGTTTGCGCAAACGACCTAAGAGAAGAATCAGACATGCAGCTTATGTGAGGTGAGTCTTGAATCTTTGCACGAGATATGAAGAAGCTTAAGGCAATGAACGAATACATCAATTGACAGATGAATATGGTGTACTAGTAGACATAAACCATCTGAGATTACTTCGACTTGGAGGAACCCTCCATCGTCAAGAATAACATCCCACAATTCAAAAATCACTCCTCGCCAAGTCTTGGAAGGCCACTCTGCGATTTTCCAAGAACGCTCGGAGCCAGGACTTGACAGCGAGGAAAATGTCCCGAAAGATACTCCTGCTTCCCAGAACAGCAAGCAAAAGTCAACATGTTCTTCCACTACTGAAACGGGGCCAGCTGCTGCACAAGCTCATAGTCATATTGGGTCGGAGCTAGAGTCACGCATAGGGCTAGATGCAGGAAAACGAGAAGTTCTCAGAGCAGCTTTAGCGTTTGCAAATCAGGCGTCTCAGCAACCAGGCGTTGGTGCATTTGGAGAGGACACTGGGGAATCTTTTGATGCCTTTAGCGAAACATCTTATCCGACAGCGGAGAGTCTTTATCTGATACTCTCTAGTAAGTAAAACATTTGCATATTCGCTGGGACATAAATAGTGCTGATGGAAAATAAGGTCCCAGACAAAGTGTTGGCCAGGCTTTCACTATGGACATCGGGTCTGTCATTTCCGAAGAAACACTGGAACGTCAAGCTCTTGGACTGATTGAACAGTCTGTCAACGGTGCGGCACGTATTCACTGCATAGTGAATGTCAACTTCTTTGTCTGGATGTATTTGGGAGCCTCCAACTTTCAAACCACAGGCTCTGCAATGGCACGGCATCTTTTATTGAGACGACAGCAGTATGAGAAAAACTTACGGGCAGCCTTGTGCCGAATAGGCGTTCTAGACCAGCCTAGCTTGCCACTGCTTCAAGCACTACTGTCCGGTGTAAGCAGAGCGCAACTCCCTCTGCTGATAATGCGATACTAAGTCGTCTAGGCCATGTTTATGTTACTCTCCGGGAAATTGGAGATGTGCTGGCAGCTGAGTGCATCAGCATCAAGAATATGCATGGCCTTGGGTGGACCTCGCAGAATCAGCTCCCAGACCATGGCTAGCCATGAGCTTCGAGAAACTCGGTATACTTTATCGATCTGCTACATTTTTGATAGAGCGCTTGCTCTAAGTATGAACCGCTGCCTCTCTCTGCCCGAGTTTGACATAAACCCCACGGAGCTGGTGCCCACTGATGCAGAAAAGCCATACACCTCGCTCATTCAAGTCTTTTTACAGCTGGCTGAGGTTCAGTCAAATGTTGTACAACACGCGAAGACCAAGAATGTAATGGAAAACGTCGAAACTGTCCAGAAATTACAAGGCAAGATGTGGAAGATTAAAGAAACAGTGAGAGAGGTCATTAGCCAAGACCATCAACTATGAGGGTAACTTTTGCTGACTCGGAATAGTGTCAAAAGCAGCCTTTGCATACCAAAGAAAAATATCTTCAGGCGGAGTGGATGGGCGTTGATTTTGTCTATCATTCCGTTATGACATCTATCGTTAAGCTCCATCCGTATCTCCTGGACGATGCCGGTTTACATCAGCAACTGCTTGGCTACGCTCGTACGTCGCTTAGTTCTCTTTCAGAGATGTTGGGCCTCGCCAAAACCTTGGTAGACTTTCACTTATTTCGGGTTTCGGTGTCGTGGTGAGTATCTCCATCAAATTTCCTTCGCTCAAGTGCTGTGGCTAAAAACCAATTGTGTAGGCTCATTTTGTTATATCCTATTTATCCCTTCTTCGTCATCTTCACACACACTGTCAACACCACGAGTCTTCAAGACTACCGCTTGATCACGCAGGTAACAACAAGCCTCTGCGAGTTTGCTGGCCATAATCCAGCTTTGATGGGCGTCCAAAAGTTATTTGAGGAATTCGTTAAACTTTGCACCCCTATCTTCGATAAGAACAAGTCAATTGATATCGCATCTCCGGCGCTCTTAGAAACAAGAGGTTCATCACCACAAAGGACTGGGTCGCAATTACACCATAATAGGATGTCTCAAGGGCTTTCTGGTCCTCCTGAGGTAGCGTCTTTCACATCTTCAATACAGGATGCTCTATCCATCCCGGCAGCAGGGGACCATGCGGTCAGCGGAATCACATTTCCCGACTTGAGCACTCTAGAAGAAAACGAGTTACTAGCAGAGTTGTATAGCACACAGCCATCTATAGGGTGGATAGATGGCAATTGGTCTATACAGTAAACTTATGACACAACTGTAAAGGCTATGATCAATCAAGGAACATCCCTCCTGATACATTCAAACTGGCACCATTGATCCAGCTGGCTCTCTCCTCTGCCAGGAACGCAACAGCGAAAGCGACATCTTCAGGTAATCCAATCCAACCATCTACCGGTGTCCTGGCATCGAAAATCTGCGTCAAAAAGGCGCCGCCCGTTCTCTGCAATTCTCCAAGAAACTGTGGCGATTTAATGATACCAGGAGATACTGCGTTGACGGTACATCCGTAAGTTGGCGGCAACTCTTTTGCCAGACAGCGGGTCAGGGTCGCAACCGCACCCTTGCTGGTTGCGTATGCCAGTTGTTGAACCTCGGGATCTGTCGATACAGCAGAAGTGATGTTGATTATCCTGCCGCCGCCACCCTCTGACTTGGGTGGAAGATGTGGCAGCGCCGCCTGACACACTAGGAATGGCCCACGGACGTTGGTGGTCATAGACGCATCCCACAAGTCGACGTTTGTGTCCTCCACTTTGGCGAGCGTCGCTTTGGCTGCATTGTTTACGATGATGTCGAGTTTCCCAAACTTGTCGACGGCGGTTTGCACAAGATGAGAGGGGCCATTCAGGGTTGATATGTCTGCTTCCACGGCAATCCAGGGGCTTTTCAGGCTTTCCCCAAGATCACTCGCAGTGCATTCCAAATCGGGCCAGCCGTAGTTGATGACCACGGAAGCCCCTCGAGCTGAGAGTTCTTTGATAACAGCAGCCCCAATGCCGGATGAAGAGCCCGTCACTAGAGCCACCTTGCCAGCTAGCGCATTTGGAGTGGAGTCTTTGGAGGGATTGATTCTCTTGCGACTCGCAATAGCTTCCATGGTTGGGTTGTTGATCAATTCTTCCTTATCCTATCAATCTTCTCCCTTTGGGCTCCGAAAGCTCAACGGCAGAAAAGCTTGAAAGGTCTCTAAAATATCATAGACGCATTTTTAGTACTGGGCCTAAGTTCCCGGACGTCCAGATCTCGAGTGGCTTTCAGTAATGCTTCAAGTCGGGCTACGTTCGCTTCCGGAACTCGCGTGGTGGTGGAAGAGATTCGCGTCCGAGATCCCTATCACCTTCACCGCGTGTCATTGCGTCGGATAGGATGCAGTCCTTCTGGCGAAGTGGTCTTTCATGTTGATGTCAACCAATCATATCGAGACATGGGTTATGGGTCATTCGGATTTCGGCCGGAACTCAGCATCGCCATCCTCCGGCCTTCCGGCCTTCCGGCCTGTGCGACCGGGCTACCTGGGGTTCCGTCAAACAATATCGACGAGGAAAATGATGCATATGTCTTGAATGTCGCTAGATCAGCAAAAGATCACGAGTCGACCTCTTGCCGAAATCGATAACATCACGCCTTGGCTTCCCTTGAGGGGTTGAATGACATCTGCGTGTCACGTTGAAACGTGAACTATCGCGGCAGCACGTCCGAGAATCTTATTACCAAAATGTCGACATCTTTCCAGAGTCATGCTGAAGCAGAGACGCGTCCGGATTCTGACGGTGTCACGGGCCTGGCCGTGTTCGTGACGGATTCATCGGGTAAGTCTTTGTGCAAGCTTTCCAAGCGCACTGGTTATCAGGGCCAGTCATTGTGATGAGACAGCTCACGTTTATCAAGGAAAACCTTTCATTGAGGAGTATTTTGGCAGAAGCAGTAGCATCAAGTCCGACAAAATTGGGGAAGACAGTGTATTCTGGATCTATTCCATCACCAAAACGATCACCGCAATTGCTGCCTTGCAGTGCGTGGAACGAGGCCACATCAGGCTTAACGAATCCGTTTATGATATCCTACCGGAACTGAAGAACTTCCAAATCATTGGCCATGACCAAGAGGGCAATATAACACTCCATCCACATAAGGAGAGGATCACACTTCGTCATTTGCTTTCCCACACCAGTGGCATTGGTGTGGACGTCTTTGACCCAAGACTTCAGGCCTGGCGGATGTCTCATGGAGAGCACCCGCAAGCCTTTTCAGGAGATTCAAAGAAGGCATACACTATCCCTCTCCTCTTCGAGCCAGGTCATGGCTGGGCGTATGGAGGAGGTATCGAGTGGGCTGGGATTCTCGTCGAGAGACTGAATAAGATCAAGCTCGGCGAGTACATGAAGGCCAACATATTTGAGCCTTTGGGGATGACAACTACCACATTCCATCCTGACCAAGATTCTTCGATCAAGGAGCGACTGGTCGCGACAAGTACAAGAATCTCGGATGGCACACTTGTGCCCATGGAAGGCCCATATCCCGCCGTCACGGAAGACGACAGTGGTGCTATGGGTCTCGTCTCGAGTCTACCAGATCTCATGAAGTTGACAACTGATCTTCTTCAACCTAGGCCGAGGGTTCTCGGCGAAGAATCTTTGAAGGAGTTGTTTTCGCCACAGTTCAGCGCCGACTCATCATCTGCTGGGATGCTTGCCTATGGTGCGGTAAGTCTGGCATACAAGAAACCCTTCGATACAAGAATACTAACAAATTTCGAGATGATGTACGGCCGTCTAATTGGAGAGGAATATGATCCCCGAAAGGTTGGTCAAGCTCCAGGAGCTTACTACATCAAGGAGGACACCAGGACACTGCCTGGCGCGACGCTCGTCATGACAGGAATTCCGAACCTAGTCTGGTTTGTGAACCGCAAGAAGGGCATCGGCGGTTTTTACGCGAGCGCCATCATGCCGCCCGATGATGCCAAAAGCACGGAGTTGATACAAGAGTTTCTAAAGGAAGCATTTAGAGGCAAATAAAAGTCAATGCTACTTGGTTGCATCCGAAGTCTACAGGCATACAGGTTGATTATCACGACCTTGTGCAGTGCATTGACATTGAGCAGAGTGCTCTGAACAAGTGCCAGAAGGATCGGCGCGCCGTCCATCTCAACCCCTGCATTCAGCTCCTCGTTAGCGCCAACAGAAGACCCTTGCTGCCATCACAGCAGAGAAGCTAGTGTTTCTTGAATAGGCCTTTATTGGTTGAAACTTGGGTGAATGACACGTTCCAAGGAGCCTTCTGGTTTCCCATGCCAGACTCCTTCAGCTCCAGCTTATTGACCAAGACCGCCGCCGGAGGGAAGCCATCACAGAAAAGAGCCATGGTTCCACACATACAGAGTAGGTAGTCTGCTGTTGAAGGTAGTAATGTGCGATTTCAGCTGCTCGTTGCAACAAGATATTCTCACGCTCGGAGCAAGGGTTAACGAAGGGCAAGTATTCACATAAACTTTCGACTGAGGAGCATAACAACCCGCCAAACGGGCAAAAATTGGCGAGTCATGTCACCAAGACAACACCGCTGGGGGCAATACCTAATCCTCGAGAAACATCCTCAATTTGACGTCACTAGTGTCAGCAGCAGCACCCTGTATCCGACTCATACTAGTCTAAATCTTCCTTAGATTTGTGCCTAGGTATACCTGAAGGACGCTTCCTTTGTTCGGGAGCTAACGCCGAACTTTGGGTCCCCGCCTTACGCTCTACTTGTACGCTCTGTTGGGTTACCCTCCCTCCAGTGTGTCCCTTCTTCTCTGTTCGTTCTGTCAGAAATTCTCCATCACGAAAGAATCATCACGGCGAAAAGCACATGGAGTAGATCAAAATGGCCGAATCGACGACACTACCACCTCTATCAAGCCTGATTCAGCCTGCGATACGAACAGTGGTATCTGGTGAGGACAATTGGAAGGGCAAGACGAGCCCTGCGGAGAGGAGGAAGATCCAGAACAGGCTCAATCAGCGAACGTGGAGTAAGCCGCGCACCCACCTCATGCAACCTGCTTACGCCCGCCTTTGATTGCCCATCGTTTGATGGAATTTTCGACCACATCTCGTCCAGTGACATGTGCTTACTCGTCTATCTTTTGCAACAGGACAACGAAGAAAGGCTGAAAAGCAACAGCAGCGCCAGGCGAAACCCCGACAGTCTGGTACGGACGCCAGGAAACCCTCGTCTTCTTCCTCGTCCCCCAACTCGTCGCCGCCGTCCTCCGGCGCCCTCGTAGCAAGCTCGAAGGGGGCGGCGGCATTACCGGCCGCCGCCGTGGCCAATGATGGCACGACGACCTGCGTAACGATGAAAATGTCTCGGCCGGGCCTGTACAAGTCGAAAAAGAGTGAGCGGACGTGCGCTAAGAACATGACGTTGATGGCCTTGACATATATTGGGCGGCCGCGGCAAATGGCAGACATTCGAGACGAGGACCTGGACGACTTATACCAGCTGTTCCTACAGCACGCGCATCAGAGTCGAAAGAGCCCGAGTCCGGATCCAATGTCGGACTCACTAATACGACTTGTGCAGTTCAATCTGTTCCGCGGTCTGATGGAGAACATGAAGACGCTGGGTATTACCATGCCCATGATCTGTGACGATGACTGCGTGTCCCCGTTTGGAAGCGATCCCGTGTACAATGTCAACACCGCATGGAATGTCCCGTACTTTTTGAAGCCAACGGAGACGCAGCTGACACGAGTACACCATCCCTGGCTCGACTTTCTCCCCCTACCGAGGATGCGGGATAACTTGATTAAAGCCGGGGATGACTGGGATGACGAGGCGCTGTGTCTAGATATGATCGGTAACGGAGATGCGCCATCTGGACAAGGAGGCATGATTCTGTGGGGAGAACCATGGGATCCCAATAGCTGGGAAGTCACGGAAGACTTTGTCGAGAAGTGGCGGTGGATCCTTGAAGGGTGTGAGGAGATAATCAGGTCGTCTAACTATTGGAGGGCAAAACGAGGTGAGAAAAGACTGAGGGTGAGAATATGAAGACCAAGTTAGCTCCTGTGGCCTCAACTGCGTCAACGCCATGTTCCACGATTGATTGACGCTTTAAAACCAGGTGCCTGTGAGTCAGCCGTGCCAATGAGAGTAGTTAAAAATCAGGTGGAATAAGACAAGGTGACCGGCCAGTGTTTGGCTGTTAGCGAGGCGCTTGCAAACATATGATCCGGCCATGGGCAAGCTGGCGAGGCAAGGGCCAGGCGGCATTGATCTCACCACGCCCGAAACACCACGCACTAGAGCAATTTTGCCAGCTACATGTACAAATCCTGCCGTCACTCATGCGGTCCTTGATTCGATTCAACTTCGGGAGGCGGGGGATTAGTTGCCGGTGTTACTCCTCGCTACAGCATCAATTTCGGCCAACAATTGGGACAATTCGCACAGATGGCACTGCGGCCCATGCAGTTCTACCAAGAGCAGCGCAACGACGGGCGTACTCTGAGGCCTCGAAAGCTAGGGTTCTGCCCGCCTCGCAAGCAACGATAGAAGATCATTTGCGAAATTGCGACATCGACAAATGGGGCTGGGTGATCTACCGCACCACATATGAGGATGATGAAGCTTGGGAACGTTGCAAAGAGATCATCAACTACCGTGTGTGCCGCAGCCTCGCAAACTCGGACGCACCAGGCATAGTAAAGAACCTCAGGCTAACGTTTGTTGACGACAAATCCTTGTTCGACGGGGCCTCCAAACGCGAACTTCGATCTCATTTTCGCAACTGGTCCCTGGACGTATTCCAGTCGGAGAACCCAAAGGCGAAGGATATAAACGCAGAGCTCGGATATTGGATGCAAGGCTGTGGTGTTCCTCGATACGTTTACTTCTTCGAGGTAGACCTAGAGTCCCTGCGGAGCATCGTGTTCGAGGCGCCCCAACCGCCTCACTACGATCTCGACTGTGAGAGCCATATCAACTTCATCGACACCTACTGGAAACCGCTGAGGGAATGGACAGATGTGCTACGACATACAGACCAAGATGAGATCGATGACTTCGAGAACGCTCATGAGCTTATTGAGGGGTGTGGGGAAGAGAACGTTGGATGGATGAAGGTGTCCACCGAGACGATGGGTTCCGATTGGTATGAGGTATGGCTTGGGAGTATCGGCGGCGATGCTAGTATTTGGTATGCCTTCTACCAACGCCCGCCTGAAAAGGTGTATTGGTAAGAAAGCTATGAGAAGCTTCACGTATTCGTTCCAACAAATGCATCGCTCATCTGCGTTTCTTTGCGATGATGAGCGTGTCCCGGTGCCAGAATTATTTTCAATGAACGAGGCGTATGTATAACAGGGGTTGGCGCCAAGGCAACAGATGCCTCCAGACGCCGCGCCCCTGCGTCGCAGAAGGGGCTTGGATCGAGGGAACCAACACCTATCAACGCACCTCAATCTCACGAGAATCTCACCTTTCTCGTGACGACGTTCGCATAATGGGCTTTCTCCCCGGGCCCTTTCTGAGCCCGAATGCTCTATTCTGTTCAAGTAGGATCACGGTTCGCCTTTTCAACAAGGTTCCTCACCCTCATCGGCGATTCCTGCCCATTGGCCATTCCTCTTCAGCTCCTGGCGGCTACCGCTGCACAGCAAGCGACGCGAAAGACTCAAAGCCCAGAATGGATGTTCCCTGCGAGTCTGAGCTGCTTAGGGACGAAACCTAGGGCTTTGGCAAATGGGGATGGGTATTTTACCGGTGTACCTACGATGATGATGATGCTTGGGCTCGCTTCAGAGACATCATCAATCACACATCCCGAAAACACAGAGAGTTCTACGAATATCCGGAAATACTCGATAAGATGGAATGGACGTTCTTGGAAGACAAGCAACAACTCGATGGCGCTTCCACGGCAAAGTTGCGTGATCACTTCCGCGAGTGGGTGAAGCAATCAGCACCACCAAGGAATTCATCAGAAACCCGGCCCCGAGAGCCCAACCCACCCGGCCTAGAAAGCAGTTTTGACAACACGATGTCTGATGAATACTTTGTCCAAGTAGACGATACATCGCTGCGCAGTATCGTCTACAAGGAGTTGCCGCCGGCCGAAGCCAACCTGGACATCCGCGGACACATCAATCTGGTGAGCGCCGAGTGGGAACCCGCGCGACTGGAGGATTACCATGGAGACCGTGTCATCGAAGACCATTTCAGCTTTCCGGAACTTGAGGGATGCACTGAGGAGAATGTTGGTTGGATGAGGTTGGCGGGGAGTGAAGTTGGCCTGTCTACCTTTGAGAGGATCCCTCATCTGTGGTACATCGTTTATGAGAGACCTCCTGATATCTTGTACCGCGTGTAGGTAATCGGATCAATTCCCAAATATATGCAAGACGCTAGTAGTGGAAGATCATTGTGTGCTTTTTGTTGGTTACTTGCTTTTACCTATGTCCTTCAAACTTCCGCAAGTGTCGAAATTGAGATCATCCAACATAGGTTCGCCGACGGCCTCAATACGAGGTCCTCCAACTCCGACGCCAGTCCGGCAGGAGTCATGTGTCCGACTTCTACTCCGTGATGACCATCTCATCCTTGGCGCCATCTGTTTCGAACCAACCCTGTTGATACATCGCCATACCAAAGCCTGACGCCTGGCTAACCGCCATGCACTTGTCCATGATCCACATCTTCGTATCTTTATCCGCAAAGGCAGATTTCAGCACCGCTATCATGGGCCAGAACATACACCAGGCATTAAAACCAACACCTTGGATGGTGCAAGCAGAGTCTCTGCCATCGAATCCGAATATGATACGGATCTGCTCGCAAACTTGCTCCATCGCCGTCAGTCCATGTGGGAGGTTGACAAGCGTTTTCAATTCTTCGCGCGTGGGTTCACCGAGAGCAATGGATAAGCTTAGAATATATTCGATGAGATGGAGCCGGATCGTGAGGTAGAGCCCCTTTGCTATCGCATCGCTTGCGTCCGACTTGCGGCCCAGTAAGTGGTTGAACGAGTTGAGATCCTCGTCAACGGCGCCATCTGGCCCGGGTTTGTTTCGCGGCCCGGGCGATAAGATTCTGTAGTTCGCAGCCGCTTCGAGATCGCGTATGATGTCGATACCCGTCTGGAAGACATCTGTTACGTGGCCGACGGATGCCCGTCCGATGTCTGGCGATGATAAGACGTGCTGGACCATATTTTTATAGTCGATGGCTCGAACGAGCAGCGGTTCTACCATGCCGCCCTTTGCCCACGCTGCTTGTTTCAAGCCCACCAAGACTGGTGATCGGCCTTCTTGGCCGATGAATATTTCCAGCATCTGGAATAGCTTAGTAAAGGAGCCAGAGCTGGCTTGGAAGTACGAGAAGACTTACCCCTAGGTGAACGACAAATGCGAGTAGGCCCTTGTCAAGCGAAGTAGCAACGCCCTGTTCGGCTCGATACCTGAGAAGTGCGAGAGAACCTCGACAGTGTGATGTTATCTTTCTTGGTGATGTGTCCGGTGCTATTGCCTACATGTAAGAATGTGTCAGTGCCGGAAACCGGTGGGTCCACATGGCATTGAGAGGTGTCACCCGCCAGCCTGTCTCAAGTCACTTACCTCGAAGAGGCCGAGGGTGAGTAATGCGACTACAACTGAGTCGTCTTGCGCTGTCGAATTATCTTTCAGTGCGCCGCCAATCTTGCTGATCGCTTTGCCATAGTGTTGCCGCGCTTGAGCCATCAAGCCTGCCTGGCACATCTGCAGAGAGGAGCTGGCTAGTGCCGTAGCTTAGCCTCCTGCAAGACAGGCGATGAGGCATCCGACGATTTGATGCCGGGGAAGAGGTTGAACAAGGCGACCTCGCCTCCGGAGGCATAGTTGGAGTAAAAGTGGTTCAAGGAGACGAGCTCGGAATCGACATGAAAGACCCTCGGCACGGCCGCCGGCCTCCTCCGAATCTCCTCTTCCTCAACTGAGTCTGGCGAGGTTCCCTCCTCATCTACCTCCAAGATTGACGACCTTGAGCCAAATGTGCCTCTTTCTTTGAGTCGTTTGGCGACGCGGACTTGCACTTGATGAGCTGCCGAGGTATTTTGCTGACGATGTACAACGGCCCACGGATCCGCATAACCCGGACACGCCCTCCCGAGACTCGTACAGCGGTTACACGAGGGCTTCTGGAGATCGCACTGGCAGCTTGCGTTAGACTCAATTCACTTCAATAACCAACTTTGGAAGTAATTCATGGGCGTTTGGAGTCTCAGTACTTTGACTTTGCGCGCCTTGCAGGCGAAGCAGCTCGCTGACGGCCGACATCCCATCGTATCCGTCGGCTCCGGTCCTCTGTGGGCGATGAACCCCCTGGTGTGATCCCGACCCCCCACCACTTCTGCGTAAAAGACGGAACGTTAAGCCAGCTCTGCGGTGAGCTCAATCGGACATGATTTGATGAGGGGAGCTCGTGGGATACCGACGACGGTGACGGCTTTTTCGGGAAGGCGGCTTCTTTGACCTTTTGTGAAGCGGTGATCGCTGCTGGTCGTTGGCTGAGAATGGAGAAAACACAGCTAATTAGGGCGCGGCCTGGCGTCTAGGTATTGAGGCTAGCTGTTCCCTGGTCCGAGGTACTGGTCGTGCGGGGGCCACCTCTGGACGATTGAACTTTCAACGAAGGGCTCCAACGCGCAACGAGATGGGACAGGTACTCGTATGAGGAACTGGGTGACTGGCCCAGTGACGAAAGCGTCAAGGTAGACCGAGGTGATGGTGGTGGCGTCGAGTCATTTGTGGGAGCTTCTCACACCTCAAGCTTGGAAAGACTCCCAGCTGGCACCCATTGAACCCGGACGCTTTGGAACAAGACTGGATCGTGTTTGATGACGTGGTCAAAGCGCCGAAACCTAAATCATTGTCTTCCGGACGGTCAATGGCGGTATTCTTGTCCCATGGATGGTATTTCACAGGCTTCTTGAGGTTCAATTAAGCTTCACAACGCGTGGGAGTTCCCATTGTTGACGAGACATTGGGACATGAGGGCAGTTTCAAGATTCTCACGCAGCATTTAAAGGGGTTGGCTGGGCGGCTACCGAAGACTCTCTTGGGACCCAAGCTCTCTCGTCCCGAAAGATCGGGCAGATCGGGTACAGTCTCGAGCCCCTGAATATCAAGGAAACTGTAGCCTCGGCCTGCCAGAAATAGCATTCGTCCCGAAACTCTCACTGAGTTCATTTCTCCATTGCACTGGCCGCCGTATTTCTCGCTGAGGTCGAGACCGTCGACTGGATTGGATCAATCACACCTTCGTTGACGTCCTTTGACTCTCGAGGTCACCCAAACTCCTGGAACACGCACATCAGACATTTTGGGAACCATCCACTTGGCAAGCCAGAAATGAAAGGGCCGTTTAGAGATGTCAATAACTGAGACACGTCAGAAGAGCTAGAAGATGAACGCTCATCGCCTACTTCACGCGTGCGAGGTGGCACACGGTTCAGGCACGGTTTGGGACAACCCTTGGTTTACGAGGTATCAGAACGCGTGGTGACGATGATCACTGATGACAAGATCTCATGTAATTGATTCAGAAATACCACCATTAATGCTGATGACAACTCCGGTGTGGTGTAGAGCCTTCTCGGCCGAGTGCTTGCCGATAGACTTTCGGGTTCGGTATAATACACCGAACGCGCCTCTCGTCGCCGTTTTCTCTCTTCTTGTTCGCACTGGACGTAATACCCAACCATATCCTCCAAGTCATCCTCCCATCTATGAGTTTCTCCCGCAAATTCGATGGCCGTGAGGCCCCAGTTGACCAAAATTGTGTTGATCTCTCTAGGGCAATCGGCTTCTGTGATACCCCCATTCTTCTCAGGAATGACTATATCTCCGTGCTCCTTTCTCAGCCTATGAATCTCCTCTTTGTGATGCTTCCCCGCTGTTCTTCTTTCTTTTGCTTGGAGCAGTTGAAATTTTGTAATCTCCATTCTCCGGTGGACTCGCCCGCTCGTGGAGAGCCTTCCTTCACCCGGAGTGGCAGATTCCCCAGTGCTACTGTTTTTTGAAGTTTGGCTAGATAAGCTGCGTGTCGTCTGTGATATGGCTGCTTGGAGACGGAGATCATCTTTGAAATTTTCGAGTTCAGTGTTGTGAGCCTGCCGTAGCTCAGCCAAGAGCGTGCGATGAAGCGTTTCGAGTACGCGACGCTGGATGCTATATGCTGCTACTGCGACTTTGATTTCGGAGGTAGTTGGCGCCTTCTCAGTCCTTGGGTCATTTTGTTGAGATCTAGCGAAAAACTTTTCAAGACCTGACATGGGTTTAGGTAGGCGGGTCGTCTGATTTAGACGCATTTGTTCGTTGCTTGCTCTGAACTTGGTAAGACTGGAGGTGAATAGTTCCATCAAAACGTCGTGGTGTATTCAACTTTTGACAAGGTCAAGGAACGAATTTGACAATGTGTAATCCAAATCCTGGAGGGCAGGAATTCCAGGGATTAAACAGTCTGATAATACCATCTCCTCTGCAACTATCTCCGAAACTTCTCATGAAGACGTAAAGCCCAAAGTTGAAGTGGTGGATTTTGTCAAAGATTCCCGTGGAACCTTAGAAACCTTGAGGCCCAAACTCAATGTTAGCCACAATTCTTTGGGCGCCGACCTACATTATGAAGTATTTTTTATATAGAACTGTAAAACTAATAACGCAATGATGGGATTAAAAGTATGCATTCTGAAGCCCATTACTTCATAGCATTCGTGACTTCTCTAAACAAAACCTTGGACCAGATGTGGTAACCCCTCTCGTTCAGATGGACGTGGTCTGCCAAACATTCATCCATATCGACTAAGGGTGGCTCCAAGAACTTTATCCGGTCTGATCCTTTCTTTTGGAACTCTCGAACAAGCTCGAGGTAGTTCACATTCGCTTTCTCAACCAGCTCATCATTGATGTCCTTCCTCCTGAAGAGCCCGACGAGAAGTATCTTTCCACCCATCTCGAGTAGGGCCTCAACAATCAAGCGAAGCAGAGCCATGTCGGGTTCCCTCATTCCGCGCTTGGGGTGTAGGTTGTTTGTACCCACATGCAACACCCATAACTTGACAGTGCGTTTCCGAAGGGCTTTCAGTAGACCATCAAGAGGTCTCGAGGGCTCTGGTGAGCCAGTGAGTCGATAGATGACGTTTTCGAACTTGTCGCCGCCCACGCCAGCGTTGAAGACGCCTTGTAAGCGTCCAGGGCTAGCCGAAGAGGCTTGAAGCTGGTGCTGAATCATGGTTTCATCGCTGATCATAGTTGCAGATGGCCACGGGTCGAAGCTGGGAGATAAGCCAGTTGTGATCATGCGTTCAATCATGGAATCTCCCAGCAAGACAATAGACGGTTGCTCAGGGTTGTCTTCAAGCTCTACAAGGTGCCTATCACGAGATGTCTCGTGAGATCGCTGCTTGTATTTGCCGTGTGGGTTCCCTTTCTCCATCTTTCCAGCTTTCGGCTGCTTGGTGTCATGCAGACTGCTGGGCAAAAGAGGATCTTGAAGAAGTTCGGGTTGCTGGTGCAATGCAAGTAGTTCAATTAAAAGGTTCCATTTGCTTTTGAAAGTAAATCTAAGGGTCTGCTGATAACTTAACAATATTTAGGTCAAGCTGTATAATCCCCCCCGCATGTCGGAGTGTGCTTATGGTGGCTAGGCAAATCTCACGAACCTGCCCAGCCCGCCGTTGACTCATCCGGCGTGCATCCTTGGCTTTTCATGAACCACCAACAATTCTTCATCCAACTGAATGCAGCCCATCAACAAGGAATATCGCCCAGCAATTCGTCTCAGGTCGAAGGCTCCTTTTGCCGCCAGTTGCCTGATGCTGCTGATCTGAGTGGTTGGGAAGATCTCGTGCTGTTCTCACGGTTGTCGCGGTTCGAGTTGTCGTATCTGGGCTTCCGCCAAGCCGAGCGCTCACCGTTATCCCTCTCATTTTGTATCTCCGCGGGCGTCGTACGGTCCTTGAGCTTGTCGGGCATAGCGCGAGCAACGTTGACACGCAGTCGGCCGGTTCCCCAAACCTTGCGGTCTAGCGCGTTCTTTGCTGCATCGGCCTCCTCAGCTGTCGCGAAATCGACAAAGCAGTAGTGGTGTTCACCACCCTTGGCCCTAGTCGACTCATGAGGAGTGATGCGCTTGCTGATTGCTAGTCTATATCGTTGGGGTCAGATTCGGTGTTGCGTAAGGAAGTGAATCATCACTGGCGAAGGGTCTCTTACGATTTGTGGCCCCCGAGAATCTCCTGAATCTCATCCTGGTGTTGCGCCTGATCAACCATCGGGCCCAGTCCTCCAACATAGAGCCTCCGACCGTCTCCCTCCGTCGCGGCGACCTCGTCGAAGTGCTTGGTGGCGCCATACGGTCCACTCTCAATGCCGCCGTTCCTGCCAGTGCGCGCCGGCGATCTGCCGGCCTCATCTCCGCCTTCACCCCGCGATCCGGACCAATCTCCCCACCTGTTGAAAGCAGGTTCTCTGTCGCTTTGCCATCGGCTCCGGTTCTGCTTCTTGGGCTCGCAAGGGCCGACCTTCAGTGGTCTACCACGGAGGCGCGCATCAAGAGAGGATAGTGCCCGCTCAGCGTCCTCGCGCTCAGCGAAATCGACAAAGCAATACCCGGGGTTCCGAGCCGAGACCGGATCCATTGAGATATGAATCTTTTCGTACCCTTCATAGCCGTTATCCTTCAGCATATCCTCGATTTCGGCGGGTTGGACGCTGTAGAGCAGGTTGCCCAGGTAGATGCGCCGACCCTCTTCCAGGGCGGCGGGCTGCTCCGATGGTGAGGCCATAATGTCAAAATGTGAGATCTTGAGGGAAATGAGCGTTGACGCGACTAGCTCACAGCCTCTATGTTTGTCGACCACGTGTCGTTGGGAGCGATGTGGAAGATCAGAGTTTGAGAGGTTGAGTAGGACCCTAGTGAGGGGCAGGAGACAAATTCACAGTGGGGTAATTCGCGTTTTTGCGCCTAGGGTTCGCCGGCACAGAAAGCTTATGATACTTGGTCGTCCCATTGGTCTGCGAACGATGAATGTTGGAATAGTATCATTGAAACGCTCTTGAACTACAAGGTCCTCATTACCCATAATTGCGAATAAAGAGTCATGGTATTAAACTTCAGCCCAACAACGTCAACAACGTGCGCCTCGAAAGACCCTCAGTTCTTCCACAACCCAGTTCAGAGGATGAACACGGGCTGTCTATTCCCAATCAACTCACTTTTGGGCATCTGCACATCCTTCTTGTCGAAATCATGCAACATCAACCAGCAAATCATCCTAAAAACGAGCGTATACCAGATTGCCAAACGTTGCATCTCAACATGCTTAGGCACTATCGTTTCCCACTGCGGCAACTCTGCCAACCTGCTGGGCGGCGGGGGTTCTGGTAGATCATTCAGCAGCTCAGTCTCGATCCGATGAGGCCACGTCTTGACCCTGCTGAGGCCCGGTGTCGGCGTCGAGTTGTCAAGAGCCTTGGTAGGGGATTCTCCAGGATTGAGTCCAAACGGCGATGGGGGAACTGCACTGCCGGCTTGAGGTGAACCGTTGCCCAAGCGCGATCTCCGTTTCTCGGTGTCGTCGTGTATGGCCCTCGAAACAACCTCATCGTCTCGCTTGCCCCTCTTGGCAGAGTTGGTAGGCACTACACGCCATAGTATGCGCTCAAAGTAGGTCTCCATGAATCTTTGCTCCCTCATCTCCAGAGGAATACCAAGCAGGTCCCGAAACGAAATGTTTTCTTTTCCCTTCTTCTCAGGGCTGTTGATAGCTGCTAACACTTCCTGGAGGTGGCGACGTAACACATCGAGCACGATTCCCTGGTCTCGTTTCTTCAAACTGTTGTCTGCCAACTCGATAGCCTTGTGCAAAAGGCTCATTCTTTTGCTCGTTAAAGGCGGATTCTCGTCAAAATCATTGCTCATCTCCTCCGCCGACTCAGAAAGCGCTCTGATATCATCAACAGCGGCTTCCACCCTCTCGTCGACAACAGTCTCGGCCTCTTCCTCGACAACCGTAAGATCATTCATCAACAATCCACTGAATGCGATAAGCAGACGTTGTAAGGATAACGATTCTCTGTCCCACGGGAAAATTGTGGGATTGGGCAGGAAACGAAAACATCTCCCTTCAATATGCAACACTCGTGCGAGCATGCCAATCACTTCGAACGTGACTGTTCAAAAAGTTAGCCGAAAATGCACGAATTTTCCGATAGACAAATAACCAACATACCAGAGAAAAGATGTCTGTCTTTCTTCCCTTCCTTATAAAAGAGTGTGGTTTTGCCGTTACACCCTATTTGGGTCAAAGTTTCCGCAATGGCATCGCGGCTGCTCAGTTGAAGAATCTCGACCTTGGTGCCAGTTCCTGAGGACGTCTTAAACTCCCTCTGCCACTCCAAGTCTTCGTCTGGGTCATCCTTATCTCGATAAAACGTTGGTACTCGCCCAAAACAGAGCTCCTTCACTTCAGATGTCGGAATCACCCGTCGCTCTTCAAACGCAGTTGGGCCGGTTTTCTCAAAGACAAATACGACACCCAAGTCAGGTACACGTGAGCCAGTCAGACTATAGCCGTTTCCTTCTGCGCGGTACTGATTATTGTCTCGGTCAAAGACTCTCCAGTAAAGCCCAAGTATCGCTGCAAGCTCGACCAGGTGGGAGATTGTAGATGTTGCGTACGGCTTCTTTATAGAGGGGTTGGCATCAAAACTTCTCTCCTTTGCCTGTACTTTCACGGCCAAAGTCGGCTCAGGCAGATCCGGGATGATGGAGCTTGGCAACCGTTCTCCCTGGAGCTTTTTCAACTCCCATTTCTTGGAATCTTTCTCCATTCTTTCCACGGCGATCAAAAGATAGACCCATGTCGCTAGCTCATTGTTGACAGTGTGCACTTTTTCGGTAGGCTTAGACTGTTTTTCGTTGTTGGTTCCGTTGGCTGATTCACTTTCTGGAAATATCTTCTTGTAGTCGAGTCGGTTCTTGGTACAACTTTCCTCGGTACCCTCTACAGCCCATACGTCCCCCTGTTCAGGTTTGTTCATGTTCTTTGGGGGAGATAGAAAAATGATTGGCGCCTCGAATCTGACCTCGAGACGCAGCTCCTTAAACTTTGGCCGTTTCGTCGTGCCTTTCGCCCATCCTCCCATCACGTCGTCGGTGCAATTCGGAAGTCCTTTAGCCGATGCGAAGATCGCTTGCATGATCTGTAAAGTCGCCGCAAAGAGTGCGACTACGGAGACGACGAGGGCGACAATCGCAACGACTGTGTCGCTCCCTCCGTTAGCATTGCCATTGCTGTTACTGCTGTCGCTCGGGCTATTACTAGTATTGCTGTCGGCCATTCTGACAGATTCTCTCTCGGTAGACCACCGTAGAAGATGACGAATGCGACTGAGAGCATCAAAGTCCGAGGTCTATGCCAAGAAACATGTCCCATACGGCTGGGACTGAGGACGAGATCGAATCGAAGCTACCCCGCCGAGGAAGACTCCGTTGATCACCGGCAGAAGTGGGGCGCAAGTGGACAAGCCGGCGCCGGAGTTGTGAGCACGTGGGCGGCGGCGACTAGCCGTCAAGTGTCTTAGACCAAAAGTCGGTGAAGGCGTAACTCAAAACGCCATTGCTTCGACTAGAATCAGTTTTTCCTATCGAGAACAGGACATAAGTAAGTAGATCAAAGAAGACTGAAGAGGAAAGTTGAGAATGAGGCCTTTGTGAACTGCCGCAATTGCTGATTTTGCATCGGTTCGCCCCGTCTCAGAGGATCGCGGCTGCAGCTGAGTCCGCTTATGCGGCATCCCTGGAAATGCGCATCATGAGGTCCAGCTCAGCCCATGGCGCAGCCCAAAAGAGACTGAAAGAGACACTACGGATGTACGGGTTTTGCGGCCTGCGTAGCCTGCCTGATAAGCGGCAACTAGAAACTGCGCAATTGGTGGCCTTCTCCTGTCAGAAACTTGCCGTACAACCAATGATTCTACTCGTTGATACAGGTGCGTCATCATGTCTCAACCATTGGGCAGTGTTCAATTGGAGAAGCTAGAGGTTGTCACTTCTCACCAACAACACTCTTCAGCTTCAAGCAGCCTGCGCAGAGCCTCTTTTCTCCACGGAAATCACAGCTTCTGCGAATCTCATAGGGTCTTGGGTGCAGATTTGCCTACTGGAGTCTGCCTGACCAACCTTTTGGCGCACTTCAGACGTCATAGTCCATCTCTGGTTTCTAACCCAACAGCTGGCCAAGCAGAAACCGATCGACCGACTGTACCCAAGGTCCGATGCATTCTCTGCTAACCCCTTGATTTCGGTCAACTTGCGAAGATGAAAATGACGTTGAAGGAAAGCGTTCAAGTGCCTTCCACTCTTTTGAGATTGGTGGTTTGGGGTTGAGTACAGTGTTGTCAAGTTGAAGGGTTGAACCCTGGCGACAGGTTCGTCTGATGCTTTCGGGATATAAGGGAGTCTGTGCATAGTATTATGCGGGATGACGGGGGCCCTACCTTTGAAATGAAAACTAAAGCATCTCCGGCAGCAGCATCCTGGCGACACATCAGCCGACTCGGAAGAGGGCGTTCAACTGCTTGCTGATCAGAATTCGGCCTTTGCGATCTGGAAAATAGGCGGGAAACGTTCACTTGTCTGAAGTATTGGGACCTTGAGCGTCATTATGTGTCTCGATTCATTTCTTGCTACTTAGATTTTAAACAAAGAAAATTACGCTTCGTTAGTTCTTCAATATCCCATGCTGGCTTGAATGATTTGATGCGTTCTCCACATCATCAGGAAGATGCTCGTAGGGCCCGGCCTTATGATCTGCGTCTTGCCTGAATTCCGACACAATCACCTCTTTTGTTTGCATGATTCCCTCCATTGGGCCCAGCTTCCGCCTTGTGTTCATAGCATAAGCCTCCTCCTCTGCGTTTCCGCGCCGGACTGTGGACCGATGTGTCGACATATTGGTCCCTCGGCCATAATAGTGAAGTCCTGAAGTTCCTCCGTGAGATTTTGACGATGACTTTGCTTGCCTCCTCTTGTTCCAGAGTCCGTACAGTGTCGGTGCATTGACGACGATCGCGGCGGTGAGCAGTTCAGTGCTGGCCCAAGTCGTTCGGCTAATTTGGCTATCCTTGTTCGTAATGTTGATCGGAAGTCGAATAACGGTGATGGCGATGATGAAGACGCCGAGCGTGAAGAGGGCGTACAGCTGGATCTTGCGTTGCCATGGGGTCTTCAAGGAGAAGACTAGGGGAAGCGGTAGTACGAGCAGCATAAAGTCGGTGACGATGTTGAGCACGCCAACGACGACGAGTTGCATTTGTGCCTTTGAGCATGCGCCTGCAAGGGTTGATGATTAATAACCAGAGTTCGTTCCATCCCATCGGCATGTCTCGCATGTCGGAGAATTGGCTAGTCACGTACCTGGGTCAGGGACAACCTGCCAGTAAAGGTGGAAGGGATTGCATTCGCTGAACGTTGTCACCTGGCAGGCGATATAGGTGCAAAAAAAGACGATGGAGAATGACCAGATGGTAACCTTCTCGAAACGAAGGTTCAATAAGAGTCGACGATAGACATCCAGCAGGACGAGCTTCTGTAGCCAGAGGCTTGGAAGATGTCAGTATGATTGATCGTAAAAGTCTAATAACCTTCCTGACTCAAACAGCATGCACATTGTGACCAAATGGCCTGAGTCCAGGGTGGTTGAGGGTGCACGGTGATGCAAATGGGGGCGGCACTGACTAGGAGTTGTAAAAGACCCGGTTCACAATGGACAGTTTGCTGCCGATCTCCCGCCTGTAGATCTCCTCGTCGGTAAAGGTGTGATTCTTTCGATATGCTGCCGAGACGTTGTTCGTGCCCCAAGTCAAGACGACGTGGATGAGGCCGAGCCGCGTCAGCGCGCAGATGATGGCGGCGACGGTGAACCAGTCGCCCAGGTTGTATTCCTGTCTGGAGATGTGTACCTTCTTCCAGACCAGCCGAGCCACCATGATGAGGAGGGCCAAGCAGCTAAAGAGCCAATGGATGAGCAGCGTCGGGTCGTCCATGGCCGGCGAGTGTCCGAGGCTCCAGGGGGTCGACGAGGCGATGGGACGGGACGGAGACAAGACAAGACAAGAGACGAAAAAGAGAGACGACGGAAAAAAAGGAGCCTCTCGAGAAGAGGAGCGCGGATTCGGGGGCAGATCATGAACATTATTATCTTCTTGGTTTCCTGTCTACGTACTCATCGCACTAAGGTAGGGGAGAATAGGGGGCCTTGCTAGCTTGATACGCAAAGTCTCCCGATCCCAGCTTGCCCGAGGTACTGACCTGCTGTGTGAAAGGACCATCATACCATTCTCAGAAATGTTTGCGGGCGTGACCAGTCTCTGGGGAGTCTGGGACCTTGCCAATGCTTGCAGAGCGGCCAGAGCCTTGCAGAGAATAGAGAAAAAAGATGGTCCTAGATGAAAGGATCAGGGCTTGAGACCTCCCGAGTTTGGTTGCTGCGAACCCCAACTTTCCCTGGTGGTTCGGATGCACGTCGGCTGTCGAGGAATCTCCATAAGATGTGTGATTGCGATGATCCACCGTGGGGCTCTTCCTCGCTGCTGTGTGGCACGTACTCTTCAGCCTGTGTGGTCTGTCGACTTCTAGAAGCCGAGGCGGGCCAGTTTTCGAGAGCCTGAGAGGAGACGTCTGGAGTCTTGACCCAGATTCGCCTGTGCCGCTGTGCCGCTGAAGATTGCTGCAGGATTTAGAGATGCCGAGGGAACGGGTGGAGCGCCAAAAGTCTTGAGTTGTCGACAAGTTGGACAGCCGATATTGATAGAAGTTTGTTTTGTTTGAGTTTGACAGCTTGACAGTGACACTCCAGTCTTGCGCTCAGATGTTCTCAACGGCTACCGACGACGGGAGCGATTTCTTAGCCGATCGAACCCCAACTCAATACGGACAACTTCTTTGACTGCCTTCACTGAACCGAGTCTAGCGGCGGCGGGCGGCGGGCGTCGCTGAACTTTGCGAATGTTCTCCCCGAGCTAGGGGTTTATCGGAGCAAAAAAAGCTCACGGTGCAGAGAACGGGGATGGGCTGACCGTTGGTCCGCCGGCTGCTAGCAAGTTAGCGACACTAGTGAGTGCCGCCACAGTCGTATTACACGTATTGATCATGGTCCCCCTCCTCCAGGATCCAAGGCCGGGTTAGACGGGCTTGGCAGCCTGTTGAAGAGTATCCAGGATGACAACTCTGGGATATTGTTGTGCAGGCCCGATTTATCCAAGGACCAAATATCACAATGGTGGGAAGATGCCGGGTTTGCGAGATCATCGTAATGAGGACTTCGCCCCGCCGCTAGTTTGAGTTGATCAACCGAACCCCCCACGTTACGTTGGAAGCGATTTACGGTAATATGTCGTCTTCAAGCCCCTTGGCTTTCCCGCTGCCCGGCACATGGCTTTGACAGAATATTGACGGAACTTAGCCCCCAAATATGCCACATAGGGTCAGATTTCCTGCCTTGGGAGTTGGCAAGAGTCAGACACCTCGTCCGGAATCGTGCTCTGCCTGTCTAGTCTGAGGCTTTCTCTGCTCAATGGCGGAGATTAATCCTCGGGCTTGATCCGTAGTCAGCGTCCTAGTGGAAGGCTAATATCCACGATGCCGGACTGATGCAACACTTGCTCCATTCTATATGAGACCATCGGGCGTGGTAGTCCCCCGGTCCCTGTCCGCCCGCTGACTCGCGCACAGAACACCACTCTAATATGAGCCGACTTGCTCTTCTTGATAAAGAAAATTTCCAGCAGGAAAAGCTGTGCACGGCGGTGCGCCTCCTTTTGCGGCTTGCCTACGTCCCGCACCACCCCCCGACTTCCGCCGTGATATCATCTTGTCCGCTGGGCCATAGCCCACCTCGACGGTCCTCTATAGAGATCGGGACCTAGCCGCGTGGCGTTCCTGTTCTCGACCTTTCGGCTGACTGCCGCTCTTCAGACACACAGACCGAAGCGGGTGGATGCCGCTCGCCGGGTCCAAAGTCTCCAAGACCAGGCCTAATGTCGTATCACCCTCCCTCGCCTCCATTCCTTGCCATTCCTTGATTGTTCTTCTCCATCAGCCCTATCTTAAAATCACTCGAGGATGGACCCTTTATGCCAGGCTAGCGGAGCACGCGGCAAGGTGATTTTCATTCATTAAAGAAGTCCCAATTGCCACCCTCCCGTACCGCGTGGCCCAAAGTTTAATCCCCTGCTCAACCGCTGTCGCTCTTTTCAGTCCTTTCCCGGTTTCTGCAGCTCGCGTCCGTCCCTTTATTTTCCTTTTTTACCTGTACTCTAATTCCAGAAAGACGGTACCATTCCTGTCCGAGTGTCTCACTTCCCAGGCCATCTACGTGACACGCCCTACGCAGCACAACCATGCAGTTCCTCAAGTTCACCGCTGCGGCCGCCGCTCTGTTGGGCCAGGCTTCCGCGTTCCCTCCCGGCCCTGGATTCGGTTTCCCGGGTGGCGGCGGAAGCCCGAACGCTCAGCCGGATAGGGATGGCTGCGTCGACTCCGAGGCGGCGTACGTTCGCTCCTACTTTTACGTCGGAGGCGGGTACGTCGACGATGGATCCGGTGGTCACATCTTCCGCGACCAGATGTACGTTGAGAAGTTGCTCCCCACGACTGGAGTTTCCCAGGAGACGCCGATCGTCCTGATCCACGGTCAGGCCCAGACGGGCAGCGTAAGTTTTGCAGATCTTTCCCAGCGGGATCATCCCTTGCGATGTCATAATATTGAATGTTTGCTGATACTCCCCCCAAGAACTTCTACAACAAGCCCGATGGCGGTAGAGGCTGGGCCTCTCACTTTGTGAGACAAGGCTTCGAGGTCTACATTGTCGACCAGACGCTCCGTGGCCGCTCCGCTTGGATGCCCGCCTACGGCGCCTCCAAGCCCTCAACGTACTCCGCCGAGATCATTCAGCAGCGCTTCACCGCCGTCAAGGAGTACATGCTCTGGCCCCAGGCCGTGAACCACACCCAGTGGCCCGGTACCGGCATGATGGGCGACGAGGTCTTTGACGCCTTCTACAGCTCCAACGTCCAGTTCATCAACAATGCCACCTACCAGCAAAAGACGGTCCAGGACGCCGGAGCCGCCCTCCTCGACAAGATCGGCAGACCCGCCGTCGTTCTTGGTCACAGCCAGGGAGGCCTCATGCCTATCATCATCGCCGATGCCCGCCCCGAGCTGACCAAGGCTCTCATCCTCCTCGAGCCCACCGGTCCTCCCTTCCAGGAGGCCGTCTTCAGCAACAAGTCCGCCCGCGCCTACGGTCTCACCGATATCCCCGTCACCTACTCCCCCGAGGTCACTGATCCCACCACCGACCTCGTCCAGCAGACTTACCCTGCCAAGGGCGAGAACTACGTCCAGTGCGTGCTTCAGGCCGAGGACCCCGCCCCGCGCCAGCTCGTCAACCTCGCCGACAAGCCCATTCTCCTCGTCACCTCCGAGGCGTCCTACCACGCCCCCTACGATCACTGCAGCGTCGAGTTCCTCGTGCAGGCCGGCTGCAGCAAGACGGAGCACCTTGAGCTTGGCGAGGCCGGCTTCCACGGCAACGGCCACATGTTCTTCATGGAGAAGAACAGCTACGAGATCCAGAAGACCCTTCGTGACTGGATCCAGGCTCTGTAAGGCTTTGGCGATGTTGTCAAAGCGGGTGGTTGGAGTGGAGGAGACAAAGATGATTGAGTGATGTGCTCACGTGTACTCCGTACGTTTTGTACGAAAAGAAAGCGGATACCCATAGACGATGAATATCATAATCTGGTAATGACACGCACTCGGTATTCTCATCACCTCCCAGCCTCCATCTGCGACCGTCGAGGTTGGTTCGGATTACCGTTGTGACGTCCGGAGAGATCTGCCTCAATCTGTAGCCACGTGCCGTTGATCCCAGTGTCGGCCGAGTTATCGTCCATGTCCGAGCGCAACGATCTTTGACAAGTTGACATGAGCTGAAATGTGACTTGAGCTATATCTTGACAGTCTGGTTGAAGGAAAGATCGTCGCTGACAAGGGAGGGACGTGTCACTATTGCTTCCGTCCCCTGCCGTCGAGTCGTTGACGCCATGTCATGTTTGTCCTCGGCGAGAGGTGGGAGATGAGTCCATGTCGCTTACACGGACCCAGATCTCGGGAAAGGCAAACGGTCATAGACTAAACCTCGGATGTTGACTTACACTGCTCTTAGCTCTCTTCTGCACCTTTCACCTCACAGACTCTACGCTTTGGGCATCACGTTAAGCTGTGGCATCGCCAAACATCGCATCTGCACCTCAATGGCGTTTCGACTAATGCAACTCATTTCTGTAACGGACAACCGCACGGCTGCTGAAAGGTGCTAGGTCTCTTGTTTAAAATGTAGCTAGCTACCAAGCTAGAAGACCTAGAAGTCTTCTAGTTTCTTGTTCCATGACAGATTGACTGCTTTCGCCCGTGTTGAGGACTGACAGTACGGATAATGGCGACTGCAACCACCATGATCGCGGCCAAGGGGGCGGAAGATGGAGCCTCAGACTCAAGTCACTACACGATTGTCCGTAAAACGAGTATGTTCGATTCGCATCATTGAAGAATGCTCAACGCTAATTCTTATCAGCAAATCTTGACCGAATGTTCTACACCTACCATCGTCTCGGAATCCAGTCCAACGTTCTAGTCGCAGCTCGCTACGCCTCGGCCCAACCAGGCAAGCAGCGCCTAATCCTATCCGATGACGCAGTCTTCTCAGCTCTCCACGCCGTTGTTGTGAAATACCCAGAGCTTGGCCTTGTCGGAGTCGTAGGGCCAGCCGCCCAGGGGGATAAGCATCTCTTGTCTCTCGCAACACTCAACGAGATCAATCTCGAGCGCTGCGTCGAGTTCGTCGATGACGACACAGCCCAGGTCGACGCCAAATTCCTGGAAACCCTCCACGGTAAATGGCACTGGGCTGATGGTACAGTCGAAGCCGGAGTACCCTGGTGGAAAATCATCGTCGTCGGACGCCGAGACGTCGTCTTCGTCTACCACCACCTCGTCTGTGACGGCGCTTTCGGGATGACATTCCACCGCGAGCTCCTGGATGCCCTCAACGCATCAGCCGTCTCCGATACAGGCTCCGCGCCCACTCGAACCATTAAGCTGGATCCCGAAAGAGTACGACTCAGCATGACGCTCGAAAACGCCATTCATAAGAAACCGGCGGTTCTCGGCGTCATCTACAACCTCCTCGTCTTCCTCTTCTACCGGTTCTTCTACGCAAAGAAGCTCTTCTTCGTCAACTTCCCCAAGCCGAAGGAGCTGCTCAAGGACTCGATGGCCGTTGCTGGACCCTCGGACCGCACCGTCACAAAGGTGACAACGTGTCGTATTCCTCCTGACAAGATGAATGTCATCATCAAAGCGTGCCGCGCGCACGATACAACCTTCACGCCTTTCTTGGCCGTTGTCGTCGCCGGCACCCTCGCGGCAGACTTTTATCCCCACGCCGAGGTCGGGTTTACCCGGTACGCCGTTGATATGCGCGCCACGGGCTGCTTCGACACGGCTTCCCCGGACGAGGGTAAATTGCTCAACCTGGCTGCAAGTCTTCCCGAGGCGGAGAGGTTGAAGAAGTACCGCCAGGCCTTTTCGGCATCGTCATCCGTGGGCGACAAGCAAAAGGGCCTCACCGCGACCGTCGATTCCAAAGTCGCATGGGAACTTATTCGAGATTACGGGAGGCGGATGGTAGAATCGCGAAGTGGCGGGGATGAGTCTTACCTGTACAAGGCCTGGATTAGCGGCAATGCTCTCGGACCCAGCCTCGAGGAGTTTGCGGAGAAGCTGCCGTCGATGGGGCTGTTCATGCAGAACAGCTTTTCAGTCTCCAACGTTGGATGCCTCAAGGCCGCACCTCCATCCTTGGGCCTCGAAGAACCGGTGGTCAAGATTGAGGATGTACAGTTCTCGGCTGGCCCGGTACAAGGTGCCGTCGGCTATCATGGCATTGTGTTCAATGTGGCGGGAGTTACGAGTGGCGATACTGTCATCAACGTTTGCACTGAAGGGGGAATGGCGCCCGAAGGAATGGTTGAAGCCGTGTTGGATGGTGTCATGGCTAGAGTCAATGCATTGCTGCAAGAGGAGACCACTCCAAGTGAGGGCGGTAGCCGCAAGGGATTTTGGCATGCTTTTGGCTGAGGCGAGAGGAATTTCATTGCTTCAGACAGATGTAATGAGAATGAACTTCGAAGCGCCGGATCCTTGGTCATAGTTAGAACCTATTGCAAGACTAACCTCGCCAACCACTTACATGCTGAATCAAAGATGAGCCCCGGATGAGAGACAAGTTTGATGCCCGCTCAGTGCGCTGGAGATATTTGGATCTTCTCTCCCAGTGAACCGCGACTACTATAGCATGTTTAGACAGGTATTTGTAGCGCTATAGATGACTGGCTAGAGTGTGCAAGGTATCTAGTAGATGATAGTGAAAGCCCTTAGTTACTTGGTTTAAACTGAATTTGGCTTAATATGACCCCAAACCTTCATCTCAAGTTGTTTTGTCGGGAAGGATGACTTAAGCTTATAATTATGGCTTACCACAACTATGGACTAACCTTATATGATGGTTTGTCGCATTGTATACATAACTCTTCGTTTTTTCGAGTTGCTACTGAATGATGACGTTTACTAGGGCTTGAGTTGCTAGCCTTGGATTTGAACCCAATCGGCTCTTGGCTGAACGCGGCTTACAGCGAATTTTGTAGCAATCTATCATACTAACTCCTATCTTAGTCTGAAGCCATAGAACTTGAGGAACACGCTAGATGCTACCCGATATTGCGCGGTATTGACGTTGGAAGGGTATCCAGCGTCGAGAAGTCGTGTTCTATGCCTCGAGTAAGCACTCAATAGGATTACGGGCAAGTGATATTGTATCTTTGAAAACACCCGAGGTTCAACATCGAAACACTACAACATTGAATCCTCCTTCAGAGAACTTGTTATGTAAAGACTCGATATCGTGTTCCAACAAAACCGAGCATTCAACTTCGTGAGTTGAAACCTCACTCAGGGTCGCGGAGACATGAACCCTCCTCTAAAGCTGACCTCCCGCCAAGGGACCCAGCAAGGCCTAGCCCAATCTCATTGAAGCCCCATCTGCACTCGCCATCACCAACCCAGTCCGAAGAATCCACTCGTCCATAAACCCAGTGCAGTCAGCCGCCGCAACCGACACCCATGTCGCGGCACCCGAGAAAGCGCAATCTAAAACATGCATGCACATTGCTTTCTTGTGTCAAGAACCAACACGAAAAGTTCAAGTTACCATCTCGGGCAGGTCGAAGCATCGAGAAATTCGACCCTGCGGAGCAAACGATGAAGGGCACTAACCTATCCCAACAAACGGGGATACGGATCCTCATAAATGGAGTCGGGTTCGTTTACGTATCCACCGTATCTGAGGTATTTGCTTGGCTACTTCTCCAGCTGCACACTGAGTCGGTCCCCGCCTCACAATGACAACGCTTACGCAGTAGGGAGCCACGAGAGCCTGGTTCCAACACCACGGGCGGGCATGTGGGATATCTGCACTTCTGCAAACCTGCAGCGGAGCCTGCTGCCTGCTTGTTTGCTTGTCTCGCAACTGTTAAGCTGCTTGAAGATGCGCAGTGCCGCGCTTAAAGACTCCCGGGAGCCTTGCGTGCATTGCTTGCTTCGGATGTTTGTCTCCCTCAAGCTTCTAAGCGCCACCCCCCAAGAGCGCGATCGGAATACCCGTCGAATCGAGGCCTGTCGTCTTGCAAGTTGACGAAATCCTTTACCGGTTCGGGGATGCTTCGGCCGGGGGATAGCGGGAGGTTAGGCAGGGGTCGGTGGGTTCGAGATTGTGTTTGCTGCTGTGCCGCTGGGATGCATATCGTGAAAGTGATTGTTGGAACCGGGGTGGTTTTGAGCTTTTGGTGATATTGTGGACTGCAGTTACGATTGTTCCTGGCGAAAAAACCGAGAGACTATTGAGAGCCACCTTTTCTTGGCGGGCACGCAGTCTGCTGCAAGACGGAGTTATTGAACGAACAATTCTGTATTAAAAGTTCTTCGGCGTCGTCAGTAATGTCCTCTTTCAAAGCTTGGTGCTTCTGCAGCTTGTAATTCTTCAGCAACTAGAGTTGTCGGCGGCTTTCACACAGATACTGTATACCAACACGAATAGCAGGGATGGCTACCGCGGACGCGTTAATTGCAAGTCTTCAGGACATCAACGGGGAGAGCTTCACAGATAAAGCAGAGAGGATACGAGCCAGAGATGCGCTGTACGATGCGTTGAGGAAAGTCCAGACGCCGTGGGATATCGCGTGGGATCACATCGTGGTCAAGGGCGGCGGCAACGCGGCGATCAAGACGCTCATCGATGCTGGCATCTTCAAAAAGTGGCATGAGGCTGGTGGTGAACCCATCACCTGTACCAAGCTCTCAAAGCTGACGGGTGCCGATGAGCACCTCATCCGTACGTCAGAACCCCCCTCTCAAACCAATTGGAAGATGAGAAAACACACCACTGACCCGAGAGAACAGGCCGCATGATGAGGGCGATCGCAGGCCAACGCCTCGTCATCGAGACAGACCTCGACACCTACGCCCGCACACCCTGGGCCCAGGCCCTCGGCGAGGACGCACCGCTGCCGGCCATGTACGGCGGCTTCTACGGCGAGCTGACGAACCCCATGTTCCGCTCGCTGCCGTACTACCTCAAGCAGAACGGGTACCGGAACCCGACGGACAAGAACGACTGCAACTTCCAACACTGGCGGGGACCCGAGGCCGTCTTCTTCAAGTATGTCGGCACGAACCCGCTTCTCACTTCGGATTTCAACGACGTGATGGAGTGCCATTCGCGGGATAATCTCACGGCGTGGACGGAGGTGTATCCCACGGAGAAGATTATTGACGGAGCGATCCCGGAGAGGCCGTTGGTCGTCGATATCGGTGGCGGAAAGGGTCACGATTTGAGGAAATTCCACGTCCGGCATCCGCAGGTTCCCGCGCGGCATCTCATCCTGCAGGACCTGCCCGATTTCCTGAAGGACATCAAATCCGATTCCGCCTTCACGATCCAGGCCCACGACTTCTTCACGCCGCAGCCGCTGCGCGGGGCGAGGGCGTACTTTCTGCACAATGTCCTGCACGACTGGCCCGACGCCACGGCGGTGGATATCCTGAACAATATTGCGGGCGCCATGGAGAGGGGGTACTCGAGGCTGCTGATTCACGAAAGCTTGATCAGCGAGCGGGCGCCGCTTTCCAAGGTGACGGCGACGGATATGATTATGATGGCGGGGTTGGCGTCGGCGGAGAGGACGGAGGAGCAATGGCGGGAGTTGATTGCGGCGGCGGGGTTGCGGGTTGTAAAGATTTGGAGGCCGGTGCAGGCGGTTGAGAGTATTATCGAGACGGAGTTGGCTTGATGAATGATGGTACGCGCTCGGAGTTTCTGGTTTGCAGTGGGAGGAGGGCTTCTTGTTTGATGTATCTGTATGGTTTAGCAAGCGTATGGGAGGTAGGTCTCTGGTAGAATCGATGTTATACTTGGTCGAATGAAGTAGCGCTCAATTTCCTGCGCATCTTGAGGTCGAGTTCAGCGATTCGAGAGTCTTTGAGGCGTAAATGACCACCGTGATACTAGACACTGCTACTCGACAGTCGCAAAAAAAAAAAAAAAAAAAAGGGCAGTTCGAAAGTTGGCCTTGTCTTGTTGGAATGCGAAGACTTCTAAAGCTGCTGATTTACCATGTTAGCCACGGCGCTTGGTCAAATCCGCCCCTAGCACGTGTCAAGTCTCTCGAGCCCGAGGATTGAATAACTTTGAAATATCATTGGTGATGTGTATGCTTTGTGGGCAGCTCGATGGCATGACCCCTCTTGGTATCCTTTTATACGCCCTTGGCTGGCTTTCTTTCGCCAGACAGCCCCGTCCGTCTATCCTCCTCGCCCCCCAATCGTCGTCACATTCTCGTGTTACTCGTGAGCTCAAGTCTCTCTTCCATCTTTACTGGCGCGCAGCGAGGGCCTCGGCCGCGTGGCGGTCGTGCTCGGCAATGTCAATGGCCTCCCAGGGGTAGTTGATCCAGACGTCGCCGACGGTGCGGGCGGCGAGGTAGTGGCCCGAGGTCATCATCTCGGAGGGAAGGGTGCCCTTCTTCGCCTTGTCCTTGTTCTGTATTTTGTTGCGTTAGTATGTTTGATCCTCTCTTACAAGTGCGTGGTAGGCGGCAATGACTCACGTGCAGGACAAAGATGCCAAACTCGGTCTTCTGACCCTTGCCGAGGCGCTGGCTGGCAGCCTCAACGTCCTTCTCCAGCTCCTTGACGGCGTACTCGAGGGTGGTGCGGGTATCGTCAACCTCATCGACAATCAGGATGCGCTTGCCGACAAGGTTCTCCATCTCGCCGATAGCAGTCAGGTCGAGCCATTGCGTGCGGGTAACCTTTGTGCCAGGGATCTCGGGGACGCCCGGGGTAGAGTTGCCGCCGAAAGTCTCGGGAAGGCTCTCGTACAGGGAGAGACCGATGGCCTGGATGGGAATGTTGGGGTTGCCGGGCTTCTTCAGGAAGGAACGGAGGATACGGGCGGGAACGTAGCCACCGCCGCCGATGGCAATAATGAGCTGGGGCTGGAAGGTCTCCAGGATCTTGACGGCGGACTCCTGGCAGAGGTTGTGGACCTGGAGGAAGAAGAATTAGCCCATGTTTGCGGTACCTCGCACGAATAAAGCGCAGAGACCACTGGAATAAGGAAGCAATAGCGCTAGCAGATTGAAAGAAGAAACGAAGGAAAACATACATCGTTGTACGTGACGTAGAGCTTCTCGACCATTTTTGCGGTGTTTGGAGGGGTTCTTTGACTCGAATTCGGTCGGTAGACGGGGGGTGTACTGCGGGGTAGGGGGAATGCTGCAGATTTGGAGATGTCTCTGACGTCTGGTATTTGGGAGGATGCAGAGAAGTAAGAGAAACGGGAAAGACGGATCGTGTATATCGGAGGGGAAAGGAAATATACAGAAGAGTGAGTTTAGAGTGAAAAAGAAGCTTAAGTAGGGAAGAATGGGACCAAGGTTTCTGCCAGGAGAGACAGTGCCGCTATTCACACGCGAGACGAGGACGGAAGAAAAAAAAAGATGCGCGCGCCAGGCTGCCAGGACCCCTCCATCCGTTCCATTGATGAGCAAAAAGGGACCCCGCCATCATGGATGCATGGGATGGGCCAAGGGCGTAGGCGGCGGCGCAGCGCAGGCATTGGGAGAGAAATTTTGTCTGTCTGGCGAGCCCCGAGCCCCGCGATGACCACCGGTTGCTTTTGGACCCACTTGGGCATGGATTTGGCAGCTGCGCCCCGGATGCCAGTCATCCGGCTGTGGCTTGTGAATGGCTGCTGACCGACAAAGGTCTCACCGAGGCATCGGAACCCGCCGTGGCTCTCGGTGACGGGACCCCACATCCGGTGTTGATCTACCAATGAAATTGGCGTGACTCTCAGGCAGGGATCAAGCGTTGCGCTCCTTCCAAAGTTCCTTCCCGTCCCAAGTGAGGAAAGAGCTCACTGCTGAATTTTCACTCCCTGCCACCTGCCACTGAAGATTTCACGATAATTTCAGGCCGTAGAAAAAATGCTGTGATGCTGCGACTGCAGCCTTATTTAGCTGCTGCCCTGTCAATATCGAGTCATGAAGATAGCAGTGTTGAAATCGACTTCTTTGGCGGGAGCTAAGGTAATTGACTCGGTGACATGCCGCCTTGAGCTCCACTCCACTCCTTCCCGACCCTGGCCGCGCGAGCCGATGGAAATATTTTCTGCCGTACTCACAGCTTTCGATTCTTCTCTCCCTCATTCTGGGGCGAATTGCTTGTCACTCTTGATGTGTACAATTCGGGTTACGGACGACCTAACATCCTCGCTCCCATGGGAGCCGAGCTTCCCTACTACCACAGAGATCGTCTTTGGGCGCAACGTCATGGGCCACTCTACAATATGGCACACCTTGAGTGGAATTGCCTGTATTGTCTCCTTATAGCTCTGGGTATCCCTTCGTAGTAACTCATCAATCCCAATGAAACTCATGTCCATGTCCTCGTCAACACAGCGATTGTCCTTCCCAAAAAACAAAGCTCAAGACTAAGCTTGGCACAAACATGACCTAGAGCGTCTTCATACGCGCCACCAAAACCTTCATAAGCAACTTCCTCATCTCCTGATCCCGATACGATCCCTCCGGCGCAATATCCTCCTTCCACTGAATGATCCCCTCGCTGACAATCATGTATGCCGCCCAGAACGCGTCAAAAATGCCAGAACCAACGCTAGGCCGCGGGAAGAAACGCTCGTTCTCCTAGATGTAATCGGCCGGATCTCCCACGAAGTCGTCTCTGTCCTCATTGACTTTCAACTCGTCCATATTCCCCAGCCCACACACCCAGAGCTGCGGCTTGTCCTGCATAGGATCGTACGCGAGCCGAAACTTGACATTACGGGCGTCCTTGTGCATATCGTGGTGAATGATGGCGAGCGCGGTACCCATCTTGCGTGCGAGCTCGAGAACGCCAGGGCGACCGATGAATTTGAGGAGCTGGTCGAGGTAGGCTGGTCGCGTCGCGAGGTTCGGGTAGTCTTTGAGCGCATCTCTGACCTCGGGCGGCTGTTCGAAGCCAAGCCAGATCTTCGGGTGGAGGTTGTAGTTCTCTGGCATCATGAGAGCCTGATTCTGGAAGTCGCGGCCGATGGTATGATCAATGATGATGCGCACGACGGTCGGCTTGATGGGTCGCATTCTCTGCATGATGAGTCTACCCTCCATTTCGGGGAACGGCTTGAGAAGCTGATCGGGCAGATGTTTGGAATTATCCATGCCTTTGATGAGCTTAAACTGGCGCGGCGCGGCGGGAAGTACGAGGCGCTCGAGGTAAGGGTGATCGTCTCCCAGGATATCTTTGAGTCGCTCGGGAAGCGCGTTGGACCAGTGGGTAAGGAGCGTCGCAAACGCGTCGGCGGCGAAGAATCCATTGCTCAACGTCTCGTAGGAGGATCGCTCCTTAAGGGCCTTGCCGTCCTTCAGCATGTAGATCTGCGTCTCCCAGGTCCTCGAGTGGTAGATGAGGCGGAGTTGTGCCGAGTGGGAGGGGGGAGAAGGCGGACGGGCCCTCTCGTGGGGCAAGAGAAGGTCCTCGTCTTCGTTGTAGTCGTCATCCGACGAGGAGGAGGAGGAGGAGTCTTCCCAGTCCCCCTCCTCGTGGATGACTGGCAGTGGAGCGATCGTGCCCCTGGATGCCATCCTTGGTGTTGAGTTGGTTAGTTTGGAAGGAAGGAGAGAGGGAGAGAGGGAAGAGGTTGAGTAACTTGAAAGGCGGCCATTGGCACCCTCAGGTGCTTAGTCGTCAATATCCGCATTGATCCCACGGGGTTGAGGAACCCTAAGGTGGTCTGCAGAGGTGTGTCGGCAGGCAAGATGAGGGCCATTGAAAGCTTGTAGACGGCAAGTTGCAGAGAGCTGAAAACTCAGGCTTGTGCCGGTACCTAATAAAGGTAGGAACACTCTCTCGTCACCTTCCGTAACCAGACCGTTCGTATTCTAAGTATCAACACGAATACGGGAACGATAATGCGCAACGATAGTGATGGGAGCTTTAAAGGAAAAGGCATTTAAGTACCCTGTGAATGTTCCCTGTTGATGGTCGAATGAGCGACTGCATGAACGAGACACTATCATGAGGGACCCCTGATCGCTGCCTTCCATGCCATGCTTCATTTCAACTGCCGTTCGAAAGGTATTGAGAGACCAGTGGCTGAGCCCTTTATAGTGACTGACTGCTTATAGATTTAAAAAAACGCGAGGGTGAGTGAAGGGGGGTGAATTACAAGTTGAAGAAGGCATGTGTAAGAGTGAGATAATACCTGTAAGGAAGAGAAGATTTGGCGATGAAAGAAGGTGCATGCTAAGGTTGACAAGGCAAGAACGACCAAGAGGATTCGGTACACAGAGTTCTACTCAAAACAACTGGGGAGGGCTCCTGGATTTCTGAAAGACAACAAAGGGAGAAGATGACCGTGGACTTTTGCCATGCTGATGACAGATATTGTCTCTCAGCATTGAGATGGGCACAGTCGAGCTATGTGATAGTTTGGTCAACCCTCTGATCTCTTCCCCACTTCAATTCTTGAAGCTGTCGGAAACTTCGAATATCACCTGTATTAAGACAATAGTCAGCTGGCCAGGGAGGATGTGGTGGACTTTTGCTGTAAATACTTCGACACCACAGCTCTTGGGAACCAATTTGATTGTGGTATCGTGTATTGTAACAAATGTCTATGGATGACGCTGATGATGGAGCTTTTAAGACGATTGCCTCCTACGCAAGCTATGAGACGTAGAAGAAAGGAGAAAGAAACGGGAGATCAAGTACCGTTCCCCTCAGCCTCCAGTTGTACCCTCTTTTTCATGTACAGCTTTCAACTTCTTCTCCGTCTTCATAAACTCTCGGATGCCCACGGGGACATCGTCGTAGAGCTTCTCATCCCACATGTTCTTGGCAATCTTAGGATCCTGCGGCACCCAATTGGTATCTGAACCGCCGCCGTCGTCATCCATGGTATTCGAATCGCTCGCGCCTTGCTGCTCCTTCAGTTTGAGCTGTGCCTCCGCATTCGCCGCCGACCAGTCTTCCATCTCCTCCCTGTACCGTTCCCACACGCAGTTGACGCAGCCGCTCATGCAGCAGTTATCCGGCTCCTCCGGCCGCGGGGGAATGACCACCCCGGCTATCGTCGTGCTCTTGGATCGCAACTCCTCAAGACGCTTCTGGCGCGCGGCAGGGCCGGCCAGGGCAGAGCCGAAGACAATGGCGGCTTTCTCAGCCGCGGTTTGCGGCGGCGGCGTCGGCACCGGCTGTGCAGGTAGAGCTTCAGCAACGGGTTCGGTGGTTGGGCTTGGGTTTGGGCTTGGGCTTGGGGAGGGAGGCGACGTCTTACGGCCTTGCTCCTGCTTGTGGACGGAGGAGTTTGGGGGCTCCTCGGGCTTCACATCGGGGATGGGTTGGGGGTCGTTGAGGATCGCATCGTAGTAGGCGCCCAGCGGGTGCGCTTGGGTCTGGGAGGGCTCGATCGGTGCCGGGCCGGTTTGCGACTGGCTTGTGATGAAGGCACCTCGGGGTACACGGGCGATGCGCGGCACAAGAGGCCGGAGGCGGGGGAGGAATCTGGCGGGTGCTGACATATTGACTGTGCTCCGTTGGTATGTCCAGTTCTAGGTAGGTTGAAGCTTGGAGATGGGCATTATTGGGGTTGAGTGAGGCCGGCCTGCTGTCACTACAGAGGCGAAAGAGACCAGGGCGATTGGAATGCGGTCATCAAAGCCTCGGACGTCATCGGTCTCTCAAATTGGTGCTTAGGTAAGGTGGGAGATATCGTCACGTGCTCTCGCGTCTGGACTTTGTACTCCGTACCTGGGTGAGATGAGGGAGGAAACATCAATCATAGGCCAAACAACTGCTTTCAGCAGCGACTGAGTTGTCATGGATTATCACAAGTTTTCTATAAAACTGAGAAGCTAATGAAACAAGAGAACTCTAGAACGTGGTCGAAGTTGAGTAAGATTTGGGAGATGCTTGCACTCCTAAGAGCTCTAAGAGGACCTCCCCTGTTTACCTCCCAAGATCTGCCCAATTAGGAAAGCGGTGGAGTCGCATGTACACAACGCGCTGCCTGTGCAACCGCTGGATGAGAGACCGTCGCGCATCTCACCAAGGTCGACAACCAGCACTGCAAAACAACCTCGAGTGGCCAGCTCTGCGCCGAAATGCTCCCATAGGGTTTACACCGATCATTGAGCATGGACGAGTCCGCTCCCAAGAGGCGGAGGGTTTCTCCCCGCCTCAGCAGAGAGCGCGACGAAGGCAATAACGAATCGACCACACCGCCGGACCCTCCCCCACCACGGTCGCGAATCCCCAGGAGACCATCCTTTGCGTCGCCAACTAGAGCAAGCCTTTCCCGGACGAATCCCGATATCCTACGAAGAAGAAGTCGAAGCCTGAGTCCGTCAAAGGCAGGTAGCAGCAACCCGTCAACGCAGTCTACCACCCAAGACGTCACTGGCGAGGGTTCAGCTGCCCAGGCCGAGACCCAGGCAGAGCGATTCTTAGAGAAAGGGCCTGCGCGCCCAAGGAGTAACATGTCTGGGTCAATTGCAGTCGAATCAACCAACTTGGGCTCTCCAGCACGGCGGATGGCTCTTGAGTCGAGGGTCAGCGGTGCTTTGGCGTCTAGACCACGCCGGTCCGGCGGCATTCCCATTCCCAGGCCACTTCCCGAACCCGGACCCAACGATGATGAGGACTTCAACCCTTTCGCTGGACGCGTCTTGAACCGTACACCCCCTCGCCATGGTACCGCTCTTGGAAGAGCACCTCTTCGTCAACCTCAACCCGAACCTGAGCCTGAACTTGATCAAGAGCCTGAACTCCCGCCGACGCCCACGCAGAGGGGCCAGGCTGACCCTGTCGTCACGACACCTCCTCGCGGCATACACGATACGCCCTCGAAAAAGAAGCGGCGGAATGCGTCACCGTCTAAGAGCTCGCCACTGAAGCAACCGCCTCTCCGACCACCCGAGTTTTCTCAAAAAGCGCAGGACCCCTCCAAAAAGGCCTTGGCACGAGCCGCGCGAGAGAAGAGCCCGACTCAGACTGCAAAGCAGACAAGATCAACAAAAGGCCCTTCAGGGACACACGAGGCGCGTGGGATACCAGTGCCTGATCCCTACGCAGAGCTCAAGGAGACAAGGGACGCGCTTCAGGCGCTACTCGCCAAGTTGGAGGCCGACCTGGAACTTGCAACCGATGAGAACGAGCGGATACGTAAGGCGCAAGCTCGTCGTTCAGGTGATGTGCAGCCTTTGGGCCGTTCCCGTCAAAACCAACTTCTCGACTTGCTCCGCAGTCATCTTGTGCCCCCTGAGAAGGAGGCCAAGCCAGATGTTGCGCAAGGATGGTTCGACATGGCAATGAATCCAACATCATGGCTTTCTTGCGGATCTCTTGGGCAAGCTCAACTGTCTCTGTCAAAGGAAGAGCCAGAGCAAATCGCCGCTCCGACTTCCCACCACCCCATAGCGATGACGGCCATCGATGAGCTTCCATACCTTCAGGCCTTCACCCCCTTTGAATTTGCAGCAACGACGATCATGCTGCCGAAAGAAAGTGACTCTGATCCTTTACTTCGGAAACACAACATCGTCGTCAGATCAGCTCATCCAGCGGGCCTGTTCATGGCGAAGATGGAAATGACCGTCGACACCGAGAATCTCCAAATCAAGGAGCTTGCAGTGCCTCGCCTGGACCCTGCCGCTGTCGCGGAACTCGGCCCCTTTGTTGAAAAGGTCACAATCGGAGGCTCCAACACTCACATGAACCGAAACGTCAGCATAGTCACTTGGGCTATGTCTGAGTGGTACAGAGTCGCCGTCGACAGAGCGAATGTTTGGCACACGCTCGACACCGAACTCGGCGACAAGGAGAAACTGGCACAGAGCGTGGCGAGGATACGGACAAGACGCAAAAAGCGAAGGAGAAGGGATGACGAAGAGGAAGATAGTCAAGATGCGGATGGTGCCGCCGAAAGGAATCGGAGCCAGAACCTGCCTCGTTCAGTACTGCTGCCTCATCTTGGACGAACAGCCTGGGAGATTCCGATACCAGGTGCCGTGAAGGAAGAAACATCGTGTTTGAGATTACAATGGCGGATCGACTTTGACTGGACGGGCGAGGCGCAAAGCAAGGTCGGGTTGGTGATTGGCATGCCCGGCAAGTGTGAGTACTCAAGGAAGCCTTGTATTACGCATCTGACTAATATCGACCAGGGCATTTAGGTGACGAGCGCGGTTCATTGGCGGCAGCGTCCAAGGTATTTGAAAGATTCGTGCAGGGTAACGAGGGACCGATGACGGCTGTACGAACTGTCGTTGCATTGCTGGCGGGAGACGCGTTGTCTTGAGGATACCTGGTTCCATGCAGTATTGCCTTCTATAGTAAAACCTTTGTGCTTTAGATGGGCGTATCATCACAATGTTAATGTTTGCGCAATCCAGCGGCTTTCCCATTCATCCTCTCCATATCACGCTCGTCGACCAGGCACATCAATTACCTTGTCGTGATGTCAGTGTCTAGTAAAAATGTAAACGAAATTACCGCCCACCTATGTTAGTAATGGGGAGGCAAAAAAAAAAAAAAAAAAGAGTTCATCCCCTCGGTGTTGAAATGGGGGCTACATCTCTTGGTGCTCATGCTGGGATTCGAAGTCGGGAACTCGGCAGCCTGTCGTCGAGTAGGCTATGGGCGTGATTGATTGTTGGCCATAAACCACTCCACCACCCAGCCAGTTTGACACGACCCGTCGATCTAGACGGGCGCCTGCTGGCTGGTGACAGGATTGGAGTTGAGGGGATATATATGGGCTTCAGTGGTGGCGTATTCGACTGACTGGGTGAATACATGTTTCGGAGAGCAATACTCTTGCGCATAGTGAGTTGATCATGTTCTATAATTTTTCTTCAATTCGGTTAGACGCCATCTATGGGCTCGCGACTAGGGTCTACCTAATAATTGATGTTACTTGCTACTGAAAGAGCCATTGACCTTGCCCCTTTTCTATATTATCACTTAGGGCCCCGTCTTAGGTTCTCAAACCACCTCAGGGAGAGTTCACGCCATTACTAGAGTCTAGGAGGAAAAGCCGCCAGAAGGACCACCCCGACCGCGGCCGACACCGCCGCCACCGCGGCCGTAAGGCCCATTGGAACCATACCCATTCCCACGTCCACGGCTCCGACCATTGGGACTACGCGTGGGGCTGCCATTCGAAGTATCACTGCCATAGCCATTGGTATATCCGTTGGTATGGCCATTGGTATATCCGTTGGTATGGCCATTGGTCATACCGTTTTGGGTGGAAGAACCACCGCCACCCCGTCCGTAGCCGCCCGGTACGCCAAACGGAGCTGCGGGGCTGTTTCGGTACGCATCGCTTGCACGGGGACCATTCGCGCCAGACATGAAGGCTCCTCCACCGCCGTTGGAAGAACCGCCTCTGCCATAGCCATTCATACCGTTCGTAGGTCCAGGTCCAGGTGCGCCTCTACCAAATCCAGCGTGGGTAAAGGGTGGACTGCGAGGGGCAGGACGCATTGGAGTCAAGGGGCTCTGCTGTCTAGTCCCGTTTGTTCCATTTGTTCCATTAACGCCGTTGGCTGGACGGAAGGGGATGTTAGCTGAGCCGCCGCCGTAAGTGGAGCCGCCGCCATTGGCGTACGTTGGGCCGGAGAAATTTGCGCCGTTGTTGGCATTACCGGTAAAGGCTGCGTTATTGGCAGCGGCATTGTGGTTCATGTGCCAGTATGCGTCTAGGACAGAGAAGCCATTTATGTTTCCTGGAGAGAGACGGCGAGGGGGGTTGTTCCCGTTGTTGGAGCTGTGTCCGTTGCTGGACATTGTGTCGAGTTGTTGTTTTGGGGGGTTTTGATGTTGATGTTGGGTGTGCTTCTTTTGCTGTGATGGTTTGTGTTGTCTGTGAAATCTGTAGTGTTCTTGATGATGATTTTGAGAGATGAATAGAAACTGGTTTCGTTGCTTCAAGATTCTTTATATAGATCTTAGAAGACATTGTGGTGAATCGGTGCTGGTGGTGCTTGAACAGTGAGTTGAGAGTTCGTGATGCGGTGGTTTTCTTATTGAGCGTGACAACTTCTCATGTGGGACGAAATTTCCACCAGCCATTCATTGTGCTACTCGAGCAAAGGCTTGCGTATGGTAGGTACCTGAACAGCCTCTTTGTTGACTAGAGGTGCCTATAGCTAACAATCACCATGACCATTGATTCTCAAAGACACCGCAAATCAGAAGACTTCCTCCCATGGAAACATCAAACACGTAGGAGGTTCTGCAGCTGACCACAGCAAACTCGCGAAGGACAAGGAATCTAGAGTTTGATATTAAAGTGCCTCCAATCCCAGCAATGTAAGCTACAATCACAAATTTCATGCTGAAAATGTTTGATGCAACAAATATGTGCGCCTATCTTTCGGCATTCGACATATTTACTCTTACACTCCAAACTGCGGTAGATAGTCCCCGTTTAGACTCCCAACCCAAGTTCAATAGGATACGAGTAGACTTTGGATTCATAAAGTGACATTTTTTCTTCTAATGTCACCCTCATTACTGAAGGCCTTGAACTGCAAAACCAGGACAAAGTTGTAAGTAGACGAGGCCGGGCCCGGATGCCGAGGTGGGGCCGCCATCAGACCCGGTGCGGACGCTCAGGGCCAAACAACGCCGTTTCCTCAACCACACATCATCTCGCCGGATTTCGGGTTGCAGTCTTGGTTTCTTCCATAAAGATGGAAAGTTTGAAACATGCTAATCACGAGTTGTTTCGCTTTCATGTGCAAAACAATTGGTGCAATAACTGCTCCCATGTTGATGCGGCTCACCGCATGCTTGATGCTGGCTTACTGGCTTACTGCCCAAAAGGAATAACGAGCTGCATGTCTCCATGATGTCGGAGGCCGGCAACAATTTCAAACACGCAGACGGATTGAGCTGAGGACGATGTGATCCTGCAACAGTCGAGACACTCGACGGGAAAAAATCAAGATAATGCGGCAAGCTGTCGTACGGTACAGCCCGCATGTTGAGTTAGGTATTGTATCAAACGACATAATCTGCTCTTCGACTTGGCGTTGAACTTCCTCTCTCACGCAACCCAACGCTTCAATATACACTGTCACTTATTATGACAACTTTGGACCCTCTGAAGAACGTTCTGAGGCAGCAGGCCGCAGCCCATGGATCAACCGCGACTCAGTCTCTATCCGATGCACAATACAGCGCCGGCTCCAGTTTTTTCGAAGCGGGTCCTGCATGTAAGACATCCCAAGACTTCATTCTGCCTCAGCTATACGACAAGGTTGCTAAATTCGACCACGACATTGCTAGTCAACTTTCTCGACACAGTTCTGCCGACGCGTTTCTATACTGGGACACTGGAAACCTCCATCTCGGCGTGACCATGTACGAAGCCTCGACTGCTGGTAAAGTGGCCGAAACTCCCTCGCTTATTTCCACGCCCATGGCCACGATTCTGGGCCCGGAGTACAGCACCAGTATCGTGGACAGCGTCGGTCTCTTCGAAAATGAGATGTTCATGTCGGCAATGCACGGTGGCTACGCTGGAGGCAAGACATCTGCTTTCAAACGTGTCGCGGACCCGCGTCACATAATTGCATATGCCTGCTCCCTACCAAGAGAGCCGATGGAACACGGCCTTATCATCGTGGTGACTGGAGACAGCTGTGCGGGCAAAGGTCACTGCGCTAAGATCTGAGCTGATGATTTCAATGATTATGGCAAGACTACGCGTGTTGTTAGCATCAGCGATGCAATCATGCGGCAATTTGCCGCGGCTACGGGCGCGGACTTGAGACGATTGCTTAGTTAGCGAGAGTACAAGAAGAGGCATCGGCCGGCTTTGACGGCGTTCTTCAATGAACGTGTGCAGGAACGGCCTCAGCTTCCAGTTGAGAACTTTCTAAACGTTGTTACGGCGCTGTTAGCGTGGATGTGCTGTTCATCACAGGCATGAGAGATCAGGCGCCGGTCACAACTTTGGGCCACCTGGTGCCCAACAGTAGGCTTGTCGATGTCCGCGTCAAACCCGAGCTAATTATACAACTTCGGCAAAGATTCAGCACTGGCATAGAAGATTGCAATGGCTCTCAAGAGGAACCTAGCAAGCTGACAGCTGAGCTGCTGCCGGCAAGGGGTGACTGCGACTACAGGCCCAACTTGTCTTTCTATCATGACACCGCGGGAGATGACGCTGCAAGATCGTTCGCAGGAAAACGTCTGCTTCCTCTAATACGTGCAGACTTGAGGCGGCTCATTGATATGGTGCGCGTCATACCAGACCTTCCATGTCCAGGCATCGAATTTCGCAATATTCTTAACATCGCCCAGATGCCAGGTGGCCTGGCTCTATGTACGACTCTTCTACAGTCTCACTTCACGGGAACCTGGTCAAAAGTCGACGCCATTGTCAGCTGCGAGGCAGGCGGCTTCATCTTTGCGTCAGCGTTAGCGTTGCAGGTTGGTCTGATGTTAGTCCCGATCCGAGAGGCTGGCAAGCTGCCGCCGCCTGTTGTTTCTTTTGCCAGGCCTGTGTCTCACATCTCATCCGGGGTGAACGGGGTAAAAGGAAGAAGACTTGAGATGGATTGAGATGCGGTTCGGAGCGAGGCGTCAGTTGTGGTCGTAGATGACGTGTTCACGTCGGGGGAAACGATGTGTGCGATCTTGAAGCTGTTGAAGGAAGTAGGCCTTGGGGCTGAGCAGATCAGCGTGATGACTGTGGCTGAGTTTCCACTCATCTGGTGTAGCCTGCAAGCGGTTTGATTTTCGGTCGTGCATCGTGCCTAAGTGATAGAGCAATTGCGTGGAGAGTGTTGACAATCTCTAGTGTCAAGACCAGATACCTCTTCGTCGGTTATGGTGTTGTCTTAACCTCACTGGCAATGAGCACACGTAAGCTTCTCGAGGGCAACGACAGTAAAAAGATTTCCTTTGAGGCGAGTGATCTACTGCGAGCTGTGGGGAGTTCGTATGGTCAATAAATACTCCCTTTAAATATCACATGAATACAGATATCTGACGACGGGGGAAGCGAGACCGGGGTCAGCATGCACAGCACCTCAAGATTAAGGATGACCACGAAAGGCAGCCATCATCGGGAACGAATATTGAAAGCTAGTCAGTAGTTATATGAACCTAGAAGACGAGTTGAAGCATGTGCAAGGTATAAACCACGGTGGAAAAGTGAAATATCCTGAGGTTTGATTTCTCACTTAAACACACCGCTTTGAGCACAAGGTCCAGCTCTTTTCTTTACATTGATTACCTTATATCTTCATTGAATTTTGGTGCACCATGTCTGCGTAGTGCAAAGTAGTGTCAACGATTAGCTATCGAATTCTCCCGGTATTCTCAGTAACAAGTTCACAACCCCTGTCAAGATCAGTCAGTATGGTCGAGCGGTGTTACAGAGATCCCATCAGCACCGAGCAGAAACGTTTTATTGTCATCGGAATTGACTTTGGGATAACGTAGGTATGAATGTATCTTCTGTATCCTGACTTGCATCGCCTATCTATAGGAACCGAAGATATCTCATCCATGTCAAGAGGATACTCACAGGGGTTCACGAAGATAATGCGCCGCAATTAGTGAACTTTCGTCGACTACTAGATCTAGCTGAATTTTCGTTATATCTATTCCGGTGACTGGTGCCAACATGCAGCGCGATGGAAGGAGCAGCATTGGCCGCCGCTGTTGGACTTGGTTAGTCGCGCGGTTAGCGAGGAGACGAAGTACATCAGACGCGTTCTTCCAGTTATATTTTACCCCGCTCCGTAAGGCCCTAAAGCCTCTGTACCTGCCTCACATTTACCCTATGTTGACAGCCCCAGATTGTCTCACCCGAGCTACCTACAGAGTAGACCGGTGAGAACCACCTCACCAACCTCGGCCGTCTTGTTTATCCCGAGTATCTACCTTCGGCCTTCACCCTATGTCATTGACTCTGTTCAATCTCAGCACTTCCTTTATTAACTGTTCACGTCCTGGTTAATCGTTCCCTCGACCACATCATCACCGCAAGCCACCAACATTGAAGACATGATCGACCCAGAGTTCGGATACTGGGCTCCAGGTGGGGCCATCTTTCCCAGAGGACCCAGCACATGATACATTCACAGTATTGACCAAAGGCGAACAATCGCCGTCACCATGGACGGAAAGCAAGAAAGCGAGGACCTGGCCGTGAAAATCCTCAAGAAACATATCAATACTCTCCCAGATGATGTGTACGCAATCAAGGTCTCTCCAGACGGAAACTTGACCTCCATGTCCACTGATGCCGAAGACGACGAAACCTTATGCATACATTATCCGCATTATCCGCCTCTAGAGGAAATTCAACGACTTGAGGATATCAAAACGATTGTTCGCTCTGAGCTACACGAAATTGATCGACTCGGTCCAGACATTGCCCTTGTGTCCTATCAGCCACACCCAGACGACAATGGCCCAAAGAAAGTCGTCTTCAAATACTAATTTCTTTTACAGCCCATTCAAAGGGCGTGGAATGAAATGAATCTGTGGATGCGTCTCCCTCGGCACCCAAATATTGTCCCTTTTGATCGACTGGTGGTGGAAGAACTGAAAGGCCGCGTTGTTGGGTTCACCAGTATCTATAATCCTGGCGAAACACTCGAAGATAATCAATCCCGCGTGTTCAAACTCAAGTGGCTTGAGCAGTTGACTCGCGTTGTCGAAGATCTCAACCTAAAGCACGGCATCATGCATCAAGATATTGATGCAAGGAATCTGCTAGTCGATCCGTCGACAGATAACCTGCTGCTATTTGACTTCGACTACTCGGGTCGCATTGGAGACACCGGGTATGTTGAAAATCGGAACGATATCAAAGGCGTTATATTCATCCTGTACGAGATCATCACCCGTGACAACCATTTCAGGGAGGTGCCACATCAGAAGCAGAACCCCAATGATGTTCAGGGGTTGCCCGTATGGTCCAAGCATCCAGAGGTACAGCTCGATCATTCCGTCTCGGAATATCGATCAGCCCTCGATCGTTGGGTAGAAGAGAGGAGGGAAGGGAAAAGTATCTCTGTTTAATACGGAAGCGCAGGAGCCCATCGACTGGCCTCCACTCGATACCCCAATGGGAGAGTTCCCTTGTTTTGATGCGGAAGGAAACGAAACTACTCGCATAGGACCCGCTTGGGCTACTTCACGCCGCAGTGAACGAAAGAAGGGCAACATCACGTTGGACTGGCAACGCCCGGCATGGAACAAATTTCCGCGAGAAGTGAATTGAGCGGAAACATTATGACATAGGTACTTTGAAGTGTGGAGGTCACTCAAGTAGAATTTCATAGGGCGAGCAGATTTTTGGCAGCAATCTTCATTGATTTGGATAGTGAGCAAGATTGAACGGACAAGTCGTCGCCGACCGGGTGCTCATTCAATAGAACTGGAGGGGTGTATGAGATCATGTATTTACTCTAACAATCACCATAGTCAGGTTTGTTATTCGTCATCTGCTCCGTCGTGAACAACATTAAATTTGGCGCCTGGTGTCGTGGAAGTCGCCTCACAGCTTCTTCGCAGATCGAAATCGCCAGTCGAATGGATCCTCAAGGCAATTCGAAAGAAAATGCGCTGGCGTAGTGAACGCAGATGCAAAAGGAAGCGCAAGGGCCTGATTCTGGCAAGTTGCGTAGCTCCGAATCTCCTTTTCTCTAACCCAGTACTGCTGCGATTGCAGTCTACACTTTCGTAATCGACAAAGCAACTTGTCCAGAAGCTACTCGTCGTCTGCCTTGTGAGTGAAATTGCTCTCATTGACTCAAAACTTCTTGATATCAACCAAGTTCTGCCGAGTCCTTCTGGCTTGCCCCATGGATACTGGATTGAGCGTCGGCGGATAGGTTTGAGAACGCGAAAGTCAAACATTTTACCGCTACCTTAAGCAATGTGAAACTCATTGTATCAACGGGATAGCTCTCGAATGGCATACTCCCGCACTGGTACCGCTTCTTGAAGGAATTCCTCCTTGCGTAAAGGCCCCGGCCAGCCGTATTCATAGTACAGTCTTTTAATACCCTAGAGGATGTCAGGAGCAGTTCAGAGCTCATCTTTTCTGCGAGATGAGCAGGAAGTTCTCAGTCGATACATATCTGCGCTTACCTCTGACCCAAAGTCCCCGCTACCCATGATGCTCTTTCCAAGGTTTCCTGCCGCAGGAGCCGGCACAAGTGTCAGAGAAGAAATTTGATTTCGAATCTTGTCAAAGAACTCTTTGAACGAGAGAGCTTTTGCTTTGAGCCACCACATCTGCTGCTCGTCGACCTCAGGAGGCTCGTCGTCAAATAAGTAATATTCATCCGCGTGAGGGTAGACACAGCCTGACGATAGAGACATGGTGAGTTAGTACATAGACACTGGCGAACTTCAGGGGCCCGAGTTCACCTCGATCGGTGTCAATGACCCAAGTGATTCCTATCTCCGATTCCTCGCACGTCAGCGTGATGAGATGCGGTGGCATGGGTCCATCGAAAGGCGCCAGGCCGAGCGCACAGAATGATCTCTTGTGCCAGTTGACGCGACGGCCGTTCTCGGGCTGCCAGTGCTCATGCAAGTAGGAAATAGCCATGGACGCGTAGTAAACCTCAGTGTTTCTTTTGCGGGGATAAGGAATATGCCGAAGTAGTTGAATGACCGTGACATCGCGACCTAGTATTTGTAGTGCGTTCACGTTTAGGTCCTCGTCGGACCATCCGGCGGGCTCTGGTGGCCAGCGGACATCTTCGGGCTCGAAGTAGGCCATGTCAATCAGCAGTTGATAGTGCTTCTTAATGAGCGATACGAGCTCATCATGACTATAGACGAAGTTCTCAGTCTTGGTGGTGCGCTTCTTGCGACGAGCCATGACGAGCGTGCACTTGTACTTGATGGACTGGATGTTGTTGACGCGAAGATGCACATCGCACTGAACGGAATGAGGGGAACGCGAAGGTGTCAGGTGCACTTCACTAGGCCACGCCCATTGGATGCAAGGGGCTCTTTCATAATACCTGCATGTTGGGGCCAACGTCAAATCGAATGATGCCAAGAGCTGTGCTCCTACTGTTCAACAAACGTTCGATCGGAAGTTGTGATCAACCGTAGAACACGGATTAATAGATTACTTGCACCGTGTCTGCTTACGTATCTGCACGCACAGAAAAAGACCGTTTGGACATACCTACCTATGCCAGCGTCATTCATAACAAATTGCCTTAAAAACATCAAGGAAGGCTTTTGGGCAGCCCAAGATATGTTAGTGCAAATGATTTCGTCAACGGCCATTGATGGTAGCGAACTCAAGAACAGAAGTCGTTATGAGTGATGAGTAATTTGGTTCAGACTTCACTCAATTACACTAACTTTGGCACATTCAGCGTCGTTCCCGCCTTTCACTATCAAAAAGTATGTAATATGATGCTCAGGCAAAGCGTACTCTCCCCAAATGTTCAATAATTGCCCACTCCACTTGACTACCCCGCAGCAAACAGAAAGCAGCTACAGTAAGTGGTAAATAGAGCACAATGTGATTCAACTTGAAAATCAGGCAAAAAAAAAAGTACTCACTCTCTCCTTCCAGAATCGAACTAGAGACCTTTCGATAACAAGGGGCAAACCATTACAGTCGAACGTGATAAACCATCTACACCAAGGAGAGGAGTTCAAGGCTGGGCCTTGCTCGGTGTGGTGGACATATCCAGAGAAATGCCTCAAGAAGTTTGGTGGTGACCCACCGTTTGACCCTCGTCACCTACCTGTGACTTAGTAAGAGAATTTGGGGACAGGATGGAACATGCGTCCGAGGACACTTCTACTTGACATACGGTTTATTCCAAAGATGGAGAGTTAGTTGTGATGTCGTTGTGAAGAACATTGTGCAGCCTGTTCACTTCATATTATCGAGTTGAGCTCGTTGAGACGTGAGTCCTTCCTAGCCGGAAAGTCTGGTCAGTGCGCACTCCTAGACAGGAATATGAGTGGTAGAGAAGCTGTAGATATCAACCTGACCATAAATATGGAGGTCACTGCGTGAAAAGTGAGGGCTCAGAGTGGTACGAGATATCGGACGGACCTAAGATCTTGGAAAGCTACGTGCTTCTCATTGTCCATGCACAGCTCCCACGTATCAGTTTAACAAGACTAAATAACGAAGTAAATAACTTCTTCACTTTCATATGACTTTAGGAATCAAACTCTCAGGAACACGCAATGCCTATTCGCCCGTTATTCTTCACCATGATCAACCTACGATGACCTGTCTAGTATGTAGGCCCATAAATGAGTCTGAACATCCGCCATCCTTCATCTGTCTCAGCTTTGCAGATAGATCTGGCTCACCCAGGAGCAAAGTTTTACCCGCGACTTTCCAAACCCCATTTGAATCTACGTCTTCGCCATCCAACGGTACTAGCAACCAGGCCCTCATCCACGCGCAGTCTTCTTTCAGCAGATCCGTCGGCACTGCCACCCTCATTCGGGTGTCAATGTCACTCTGTCGGAAGTTCTTTGTGAAGCTAAACCCCGTCAAAAGTGCATCTTTCCCCTCTTGTGTGCACGGAAGTCGCAGGGCAAATGTCGACATCCAGTAGATTGATCTTGGGTCCGTGATCCATGTCAAGAATGCTGCAGCAACTTCGACTGTGAGGCCGTCTTCAATGTCAACCAGACCCTGATCGCTCTTGGCAAAAGCCTTGAGCATCTCTTCCGCTCCGAGACGCAAATTCTCGTTTAATTTGAAGTCTGCAAAGATGCCCGTGTTGTAGTTCCACTTTATCACTTCACGATCGAGCTGGGCCCAAAGGCGCCTCAATAGGTCTGGCCCACTCGACAGCACGGCAGCAAGGAATCGTCTCCGTGGCTTGTCCATTTTCTCTTCAGACTGGAACTCCGGCATTTTAACCTGGGCTTTGAGCGGTGGCGGGGTATTCCGTATCATGTCTGGAAAGATGGAATATGTGCGCTGGAGTTCCTCCTCTGAAACCCATAATACACCCCGATTAAAGAAAATCATGTCGATTTCTATTTTGTTGAAGGTCAAGGCATGGATGCCTTTGATATCCCCCAACGTGAACTTGTTAAGCGTGGTATCCGCCGCCGTAACCGGTCGTGCAAGCCATGATCCCTTTCCGCAAAATGTCAGGGGCTCTATGTTAGTGAAAGCAAGTGGCGTCTTTTCGCCTGCTGCCAGGGCGAGTAGAACTGCCAGATAGTATACCTCGTCTACTGTCGGCTCCTCGGATCGGAAGAATGCCAGGCCAAGACCGATGAGATTGAGGCACACGCTGAGCCTGTCACCAGGCATCAGGCAACCCGTCTGCGCGATGGCGTTGAATTTCGCCATGAAGCTGGACCGGATTTCGCCGACCTTACGATCTGGATTGTCGAACTGCGGGGATGTGCGATTCGCGAACCCAGAGAGGATTGGGTTGAGATGAATGCTCCGTTCATTCTGATGGCCGAGCTGTACTGTGATGGTCGCTAGAATTGCATGCAGTGTAGTCCACTCTACCGTAACTGTTCTATCTTTACCAAGGCCTAGGATGAAGACGGTATTGTGAACTCGTTGATGTCGCTTGTCACTCCACGGCTCGGCAACAACGAATTCATGGTAACACCATGAACGCTGCCACCACCGGGCGGCGGCCACTTTATCATAGAGTGAAATCAAGAGTGAAATCTCTCTATCATCAGCCGGGCCCCTTTCGAGAGCATACGGAGACCTGTAGCCATCATACAGGTCGAACAACTCAGCCTCGTCATTGGTGAGCTCAACGTCCTCCAGCAGTACAACCAGCTTTCGGCAAGATTTGTAGACAACGTCCATTGACGCGATAGCTCTTTGCTGCTCAAACTCATCACGCTGATTGATGCAGACCTGGTCTATCCACATTCCCTCGCGCGGGTGGCCTCGTTGTTCTAAAATTGCGTCGGCGAAACTTTTGCCGACCGGCCACACCCCTCCAGGCTCTGGGATTGATTGAGGTGTCCCCGGCCAACTAGGGTTGTGCCAACTGTAACTAATGGCCAGAAATTGTCGGATCACAAAACGACTGTCGAATGGGATTCCGGTTGGACTCGAGCAAAGCAGCCGGAATGGAGTGTCAAGGATGACGTCCGAGGTGCGTCGCTGGAAGCGTTGCGCGGCCTCGGCGGACCATGCTTGGAGGTTGCTGAGGATGAGGTCTGCTTCTCCGCGGCCTGAATCTAAGCTGCCGATGGCCTCGGAGAAGAGATTGAACTTATTGTCTCTTGTCAATGACAGCTTGAAGAGATCCGGCGAGAGCTGTTCGACTTCAAGAGTCTCCCCAGCTTGCGTCGGAGAGTATTCGATCAGGCCAGACATTTTTTATAGTCTTTTATCAACTACTTGCGTGGATGTCAGTCGCCAGATCAGAAGTCGTGGATCACGGGATGGCTAGCAGGGTTTGATAAATCTGTCGAGTTTTAGTGAAAATCTTTTGCCAGCTGTCACAGATCAATGCTGTACCTTGAAACCCGTGGTTTTGACCATGAAAAACTGAGGTTCAGTGAGATGTTCTTGTTTCCCCTCCTTGGGAGAAGCGTGTGGGTCGTGTGTTCAGCTGAGTATCCGTAGCTACTAAATGTGTGGTGTGATCGCCTGGGCTGCAGCAAAGCCTCAAACGGGAATTGGCAACTCTTTCTGGTTAGTAGTTTGGCCAAGCCTCTTTGCCTCGAAGCTAATCTATTTGCGCTCATAAATATCTGCAGTGCTCAGCATAACTTTATTTCAGCGGGTTTCAAATAATGCCATGGTTGTCATTTAAAGGAAATCGCACCCAGGTATCTCTCGTGGAGGTGCAGACACGTCAAACAGTGTACAATCATGAGTGCAATTCAATATCCTTGAGATGGATGATCAAGAAATAATGCACGTCTAAGCTTTCCTAGGGGAAGTTTTCACCTAATCGCCTTTTACAATTTGCACAGAGAGAATTCATCACTGTGCTCCTACAAGAACCAGCGGAAGTGAGGGCTCCTAGGTCCATCGCCCAACTTCGATGTCGGGACTTCACTAGCGGTCAAGGTAATACCCTCGGCCCGATTTCTCCTTCGGTTATCCCACATCATATAGAATCCTAGAGCCAGCGCGCACGAGGCACCAGCCACACCGAATGCTGCGGTTGTAATCAATGCAGGTGCGTATTTGGGAGCATCTGGCTTGCGGAAGATGTTGCTGCTCACAAGACCCATGAGGTTGGCCAGTGGGACACCGATTGAAGTTAAGAGTACACCTGTAGTCTCGACATTAGTCTCTAGCAGCGAATAAGAATCTGATTCTCTATCTGACTTACGCTGATTCTCATTGACAACATTGTTGTTGTACCAAGTCGACAGCAGCACACTGGGTGCCGAAGTTCCCCAGGTCATCATAAAGCACGCATAGTACGCGAGCTTGATTTCAGCTTCAACGTCGTCAATAGCAGCGTATATGATAAAGCCGATGAAAGTGAGCATGAAACCTAAGGCGATGAACGGGAATCGGAGACGTCGCCAATCCGAAAGGAAAGCAAGAATGAGGAGCATGGCAGCGCCGCTGACATTCGGTGCAACTGTGTAAAGGTTCGTCTTGATGGTGCTGTATCCTAGGCGCTGAACGATTTGGGGCATGAAGAGGCCGACGCTCTGGAGTGGAACGCCAAGACATATTTCGATGGCAAGGAAGCCGAACTATGTGAACGCGAATTAGCGAGTGCACGTCTTGATTCCAAACACCAAAATGAAAAACATAGAGGAAGATAAAGATGCCTACCGTTGTTGGGTGCTTGAAAACCTTGGCAGCTTCTCGGATCTTCATCTTCTCTCCGACTACGGATGAGCTGTCGACTCGGATGCGATGGTGGGCAAGCTGCTTCTGTTCCTCTGTGAGGAATTTGGCCTCCGCAGCGCTGCGTGGCAGATACCAGAACGCAAATAATGAGAACAGAATGGTCGCAGTGGCTTCAATGATGAACAGCCATCGCCAGGGATGCAATTTGGTGTTGGTAATGTGAAAAACACCGAATGCCAGAAGGCCGGAAAACGCGTTTGCCTACCGTGTGTTAATCTCAACAACATCACTAGCACGACATAGCTAGAAGAGGAGGCCATACAATGTTGGATGCAGCGTAGAAGACAGCGAGGCGTCGCGCAAGCTCACCGCGACGGTAAAATGTTGTGAGATAGTAGATGACCAGCGGGAAGAACGCCGACTCCGCCATGCCGAGGAACCACCGCAGCGCAAAGACGCCTCCAAAGTTTTGCGCGGCGGCCATGAGCATCGTCATTGTGCCAAAGGTGAACATGAGGATCGGGAGGACGATGGCGGGGCCAAATTTCTTGCCGATCAGGGCAACGAAAGGCGCGGCCGCTACGAAGGGCACGAAGAAGATGCTGACGATGAGGTTGTACTGGCCATCTTTGAAGCCGAGATCCGTGCTCAGGCCGTCAGTTTCGGCATTGCCCAGGTTGCCCTTATCAAGCGCGTTGAAGAGGTCTGGCGGACAAGTATTAGCAACCACGAGTACATGCTCTCGCGAGTCAAAAGTATATCAGGAGGCTACTTACACATCACGGCCAGTACAGGCAGGATGTGAAAGTCCAACTTTCTGCAGAGGGCGCGCTCGGCGGCCTTGTCGACGACTTGAACCACATCGTCATCGTAGTCGTTCTTCTTGACGTTCTCGCCGTCTACGGATCCATCGCGAAGTGATCCTTCGGGCCGTGCCGCCGGGGTAATTTTGTTGTCCTTTGCAGCCTCCATCGTAAATCTCGCGGGCCCGTTTGGCTAAGACCACACGAGCGATGCAAGAGAAATGTGCGAGAGTAGAGGTTAGGAGACTCAAGTAGTGCAAATCTAGAGGGAAAGGGAGACAATGCAAGGTTACAGTTACCCCAACTGGGACATTGGTATCCGTGCTTTACGAGCAGACACATAAGCTTCGGTTGGAGTTGTTGGAATACGGAGTGGCATTCGCTGATCCAGCATATCCTTTTCCCTGATTGACGTATCTCTCACCCCAGTCATCTAGAATCCTTGTGGCTGGTTTGTAGCTATGAGAGACACACCCGTTGGTGGCCGAAGATAAGAGTGATATTCCAAGTGGGGTCGTTCATTCACACGCACACTCCTCCGGTAACCCATCTCTGCCATCCCTCAGCACTGGGCGAGTGAGAGTCCCGACTTCATATCAGCTCACCATCACCGTCACCGTCGGCGGAGGATTTGCGACGGGAACATATATCCCCACTACTGCCGTGTCACCATAGAGCTTGAATCGTGGGAAGCAACAACCCAGAATTCTTCAAACCCCAACCCCTTGGTGAACGTACACTAGTTTTTAGGTCTGGTACTACGCAGGGGGCTCCTTCGAGCTCGAAGTTATCCCTCCGCTTTAGCCCACGGCAAGCTGCCTTCAATTACCGCCAGTGATTTACCCTATTCGTACTTCATGTTGAAACTTCCGCTTCGAGGTCCTTACTAGCAATCAAAGGTGAAGGCAAACATGCCATATCCGCGTCCAAGTTGTACGGCTTGATAAGGATGGATGCCGACGGCCAATGGCAGAGTATCCCATTTATCAATCTGCACCCCGCAATCCACAAAACTTGCAGCAACTCCATCATAGTAGGGCGAACCGACAAGAAGGAGCCGTGCAATGGAAGCGCTCTCCGGCCTTGACGACGGAGTAGCCGGTGGTGAGTGGTACGTGGGGGTACCCGTGCCTCCTGCTCAGTACCTCCTGGGGTTCGAGCATCTCGTAATAACAACTTAATGCAACACGAATGTCGTTCCAATCAGAGATCAACCCGAGATTTGGAGACAGAATTACGCTTCCGAAGTGACCCACAGGTGAGATGCTTAGAGAAGATAAGGACGAGCTATCCGCGAGGGGGGGGGGGTTGAAACGTTGCAATCCCGCTGACTTCAGGATTGCGGGGTTGATAGGACGATCCGACACAACTCTCCGCGGGCAGCTGAAGCACATCCGAGAACGGAGCCAACGATGAACATGTTGGCCTAGGAAAGAGCGATAGTCACGATGTGTGCGATGGAGTATCGATGGGGTTTGCGAGTGACTTAGTAGTAATCCGAGGGATGGACTTTGATGTAGTGCGACTCGATTGATGAATAAACACCAGCTAAGATCAACTCTCGCACTGAACTTACAGCACTTTACTGATCATCAATTCCAGCAATTTTAGCATAGCATACTTACAGTACCTACCACCATGTCCTCCGCAAAGACCCCCGTTCTCACCGATAGGGCACCCAAGCCCCTGCCCGGCATCTACAGCCAAGCCATCATCGCCAATGGTATGGTCTTCTGCTCTGGCGCCGTTCCCATGGACCCGGTGACTATGCAAATCATCGACGGTGACGTCCAAGCACACACGGTATGTGCATGCAGCAAGAGAGAATCTTCCCGCTCCGCAACCCTATTTCAGTCGGACACCGATGTCGCTCATCGCTAATCGATAACCTCAGCACCAATGCATTAAGAACCTCACCGCGGTTTTAGAAAGAGCAGGTACAACGATTGATAAGGTGGTCAAGGTTAACGTTTTCCTCTCGGATATGGACAACTTTGCTGCGATGAACGAGGTTTACTGCACTTACTGGGGCGATGTAAAGCCTTCGAGAACGTGAGTTTATATCGTCGCTGAGTTGATTGAGGTGCTAATTGGTATGATTTAGTTGCGTTGCGGTCAAGACCCTTCCTCTTAATGTTGATGTTGAGATTGAGTGCATAGCTGTCTTGTAAATTAGGGTGATTAGAACAAGTAGACTTACAATGCAGAATCATCAAGTATCAGATTGAGATGAGATCGTGATAGCTTTTGATAACGATTAAAAGTCCAACTCTCGGCTTGGACGCTGGTGGCCTGGGCACTATCCGCACGCGTAATATCCACTCACCAAAATTGAACTTCAAATCATTTGATTCAGCTTTCAACAGGAATCAAGTTGAAACGACTCCATCGATTTTTGGTGAGTCCAATTGACACGATGTCTTCGCTGTCTCACAAAAGCTCTATCAACTTGTCGCAAAAGTAAGTGATCGCCCTCCTGCCATCTTCCAACGCCTCATCCATCGCAATGAAAGGATGTGGCTGCCCCTTCATAATATGCACATCCGTCTTCACACCCGCATCCTGAAGTTTCTTGCCAATAGCCTCTCCCTCACTTCGCAAAACATCAAGTTCGCCAACGACCACCACAGCAGGAGGCAACTTGGACCACTCCCCTTCCCACAGCAGCGGGCTCGCCTCAGGGTGCGTCCAGGTCTCCTTGTCAGGAAGGTAATGGTAACGATACCACATCATTTTCTCCGCCGGCAGCGCGGGCGTGAACTCGTTCTCCTTCCACGAAGCATGCTCCGGCTTCGTTGAGTCTGTCGTGGCGGTGTTGTCTGCGACGGGCACGGAGAGCAGCTGTGTTGCCACGGTTGGGAAGTCTGGGCGCTTCGTTGCGCGCTGGCAGATGATGGCTGTGAGGTTTGCGCCTGCGGATGAACCTCCGATCGCGATGCGTGAGGTGTCGAGGTTGAGCTTTTCTGTGCCGGTCGCGGAGATGGCCCAGAGGACGGATTCCCAGCAGTCGTCAACGGCTGCAGGGAAGGGATTCTCTGGTGCCAGTCTAGAGGTGAGGTTAGTAGTGGTCATCTTGTCCCGTGGTTCTCTTCACCTATAGTCTACGCAAATGACGACGCATTGTGCCCGGTTGCAGAGATGCGTGGCAATCACGTTCTCCGTGTCAATGTTGCCCAAGACCCAACCGCCGCCGTGGAACCAAAAACACAGAGGCCATCCCTTGGCCGGCCTATCTCCCAAGGGGGTGAAGGCTCGGAGGAGGATATCGGGTCCGCTCGTTTCTTTCCTCGGAATGGTGAAATCCTCTGAGTTGGCGATCTCGAGCTTAGGGCCGGCGCCTGGGATTAGAGTGCCGCTTGCACGAGATGCGGAGATGGGCTGGTGGTGCACGACTTGCTTGTCAAAAACGAACTTGTTGTAAAAGTCCTTGTACTCGGGGTTGATGCGGTCGACAACCGAGGGGTGCAGGGGATACGGCGGCTCAGGCATGGTGGCAATAATTTGGCATAGGTTGGTGAAATTCGGTTGGCAATTTGTTGTAAGCTGATGAAGACGCTCGGATTGTTATCCAGCCTCACTCCTCACCTGCGCGAAAGCACATCCTCGAGCAATCAGCAAGATGCCGTCTTTAGCCAGCAAACTCCCCCGAGCTCCGGTCACCGGCCGGGCGCCCCGTTCGAACATTGCTGCCAACGCGACACCTTCCCCCTGGGCCCCCTACAGGATCATCAGTCTGTCACCAGATGCAAGATAGCAACCGTACGGAGTGGTGCTAAGAGCTTTATCGGTGAGTGGAGCAGTCAGGAAGCTTAAGATTTGGCCCGACGTTACTCTCAGGGGTCAGCTTGCGTCATGCTACCCCTCCGAACCCCGCAGGGATCAAGATCTTTGCTAAACTTAAATAAAGCAACATCAAACTCATAAAGGTGTTGAAATGGGCTGCGAGGCCATACCTACTGATCAGCTGGGTAGTCTGGATACGATACGCTGATACAAATGAAATGGAAAGTTTCTTGCTCGAAAGAGACCAGCCGGACGACTGACGTACCTACTGAGGTCCATGGATGATATGTAGGATCCAAACTCTTGCGCTTGCTGTCATCCAGGGCAGTCTCATCATCTTAGAGTTTAGTTGACACCCTCAGTGGAAGCCTATGTCGTCGTGCCTTCGTAGCAGTATCATCAATCCGTGAACGAGCATGGCATGAGATTGTGCAAGCCGGAAAGTCCTCAAATCTGCAACATTTTGGGCCAGATTCAACCTTCCGGTGGGTACCGCCAAGGGTTCAAGCACAGCATGAGATGTCGGCTGGTGGAGACGGAGCAGGAACAAACACAGTACAGACGGATCAAGAGAACCAGAGCGGTACAGGATTTCCTGCCCGCCTGGAAAGAAACGGCCAGAGCGGATGCTCATACGCACTTCTCGAATAGGCACCTTGGTGAGATGGACGGCGAGAAAGGTAGTCTCGAGAAGCAACCTCCATCCAACCGCCCTGGGAAATGAACCATCACTCAATCTTTACGCGGGAATGAACGAGTTTGCTCCGGCGGATGTCTAGCATCGCCATTCCCGTCGGAATTGAATCCATGGTCACGTTACCAGCAATGCTCCAAAGAAGGTCGTATCGCGGTTTCACAGTATCCAGAGGTCGGCGTAAGCATCGAATTGTCCAGCTATATTGCAAGCCACATGGTAGACCACTGGAAATCCACACCCAAGGGTCCTCCAGGCATTGAGAGCTACTTGTGCCAGCTTGCCATCATGGGCACATGGTGTTGACAACGTTGTAGGCCTTGCACGAGATTTTCCGTCTGGCCACCCCTCGTGTTCGTATGAGCCCTTGCCGCCTTAATGAATCGTCGTCTCGTATCGCATACGTGGCAGGGATAGTCGTGTTGTACAAATCTCTGGTGGGCGCGAAGAACGAGTAAAATCGTGAACGGGTTGATGCAGACGTCGACGAGCCATTTCCATCGACACATCTTAGGCTACATCCTCCAAGTATCCTACAGTGTCGGTATTCGCATCGAGCCGTCAGTCTCTCGTAGACATCATCATTCCCTTAGTCCACATCAACACCAAGCTTCCTCAGGTCGACGACGGCCTCCTCGATCTCAGCCATAAGCTCCTTGTGCGCCTCGGGCACGTCGTTAAAGGTCATGACATTGTATCCGAGTTTGGCGAGTAGGTATGAACCGAAGGAGATGAGAGCCCAGAAGGGCAGCTGTGCGCACGGAGCATATGTTAGCACAGTTGGGCCAAGCCGCAAGGGTTGCTCCGAGAGTGCGATCACGGCTACGTACAACGGGGACGACATCGTTCTGGATCTTGGCGGGAATCGGGATGAGCTGGAGGAAAAGAGCGAGGTAGAGCTGTAGAAGAACATTGACGGTCAGCAAAGGTCTCGTAGGAGGGGATGGCTCTGGACACAAGGGAGGGAGGGGTCGTACCGAGCTCACGAGGAGCGCAAGAGAGATGGTCTGCTGGGCGCGGGTCATGGTTGCGGGCGGTGTAGGAAGCTGGATGTAATGGTGGGAAATATGATTCGAGGTAATTGTCTCTGCGCAGAAGCAATGGTGGCTGAAAGGAGTGACTGGAAAGCTGGCGAAGAGATGACGATTCCCGTACCCTTGGAAGCAATGACAAGTGGAAAAGGAGTCGCGAAGCTGTCCTGAATTCTTGGTGGAACTCTGAATGACTAAGCAGATCTTTGGCCCTGTATGCACCTTTGTGTAGCCGCACTTTACGCGTTGGACCCACTTGCGGCAGGAGCAGCCGCGCAGCCTTCAGCTCCTTCCATGCCTTCCCTCAATGCTGGAAATCTCAAATCTCATCAACATGACGACTCACTTGAGCATTTCATGTCTTTCGCATGTTCACATCGATCAAGGGTGAAAGTACCCGAATCATTCATGAAATCTATGCTTTGGGAACAGTCTGTCCGGCGCAGGGTAGCCTGTCGAGGAACCCCGTGGCCGAGGTTGTCAACCAGGGAATCGAGTACCGGTGCTGAGACCTACCCATGATTCAAGACCCAACAAAGCCTACCAGAAGCAAAGTCCGAGTCCCGTGAAGGTGTTCTTCGTGTGGCGAGTAGAGTAGTAAACTCATGGAAACTGCAAGTTCAGTATGCTTCGTTAGGCTCAAACTGACGCGAGCTCATACTTACCGCGTTACCGAATACCTGACTCCTAGTTGTCGTCGCGAATACATTGGAATGGGATAACCTGCTCGGATCCGAAAACTCGCACCAATCGCATCACAGACCACCTGCTGGTCGTTATCGGGATGGTCATGTCCTGAGACATTGGACGACGATGATGAGGGGAACTGGTCAGTGCAGGAACACGCAACCTCTGTAACTCTATTCTACGCTTCTGTAGAACAAGCTTTTGGGAATAATCTACGACGAACTGGGAGAAGACTCAATGACAAGTCCGCCCGGCCGTCCGAAAATGGTGGGGATGAAGTGCGTGGCAGACCGCGGCGACCGCCTGATCATGAATGGAGTTTGCCGAGGGGTTCCTGAAGTTAGGAGCTTTATTGGCAAAGATACCGCGGTTGAAGAGCATCCAGATTCTTGTATATCGAGATCTCTCAGTTACCACTTGTATCCAGCGTCAAGATGCATCCTCTCGGCTTTCTCGCTTGCGTTGCCGGGCTTTCCGGCACAGCATTTGCCGACTTTGGCTTAACGACATCAGACTCCACATACACGATCGACACCAGCGGTGGACTAATCTTTGAGGTTAACCGGTAAGAAATACGATGGATGAACCAATGCTCTCGAAACGTGAACCTACTTAGTGAAGCTGACGGGGAGTCAAGCACAAATGGCGACATCACCAGTCTGCTCTACAACGGTGTTCAGTTCCAAGGCACGGGCAAGATGTCACAGATCAACTCCGGTCTCGGAACCTCAATAGTCACAGCTGACACCGTAAATGGGCATATCAAGATCACCGTCAAGGCTGGCTCGCAGCCCTTGACACACTACTATGTATCTAAACCAGGCGATTCAACCATCTACATGGCAACTCACATCACTGGTGAGATCGCGCCTGGCGAGTTGCGCTGGCTGGCCCGACTACAGCGCAAGCAGGTACCGACTGGTGTGCATGGCGATGTTGCCGACCTCGATGGATGCGTGGCATTTGAAGGCAAGGACACATTCAAGTGTCCGGACGGTACCACCAGATGCAAGATGTATACATCTGACCGTTTCATTGACGATCAAGTCCACGGCGTGACCGGTGATGTAAGTCATAAGATGAAAGAAAAAGGAATCTGAGTGATGCTGACAATTCCAGAATGTCGGGGTGTGGATGATTATGCCTGGTAACGCCTATGAGCACTCTGCCGGCGGCCCTTTCATGAGAGACATCAACTCGCAAAGCACGGGCGACCAGGAGCTCTACTGGTATATGAATAGCGGTCACGTCAGGACCGAACCTTGGCGGTTCGGCCTTTTTGGCCCCTACGCAATGGGCTTCACGTAAGGTTCATCCGTCTTCTCAGTCTCGCCTATGTTCAGGATATGCTGACTAGACGCGTAGACGCAGCATCAAGCCGCCGCCGGCGGATGTCGACATGAGTTTCTTCGACTCCTTGAACATAGATGGCTACGTTCCCGATAGCGGCCGTGGAAGTGTTTCGGGCACCGCGACGGGAGTAGCAGGTGGTTCTGAAACTGTAGTACACTGGCTCAACCAGGATGCGCAATACTGGACAAAGGCCGCCGGCAGAAACTTTGAGTCGCCGCTGATGAAGCCCGGAACATACACGATGAAGATGTATCGGAACGAGTTCCCCGTCGCTAATGCTAGTGTAACGGTCACGGCGGGTGTGAAAGCCACGCAGGACATTGTGGCAACCGAGTCCGAGCCGCCGGTCATCTGGCGCATCGGCGAGTTCGACGGACAGCCTTTTGAGCTGAAGAACGGCGACAAGATTCAGAGGATGCACCCCTCAGATGCTCGCATGGCGAGTTGGGGAGGCAAGTTTACTGTCGGATCATCCAAAAACCAAGACTTTCCCATGGCTTTATTCTCCAAGATTGGAGGCAATGCCACCGTCAACTTCAATCTAGGTGCCAATCAACTAGAAGGGGTCGTCCTGCGTATTGGAACGACGCTTTCGTTCAAGGGCGGAAGGCCTAGTGTCAAGATAAATGAGTGGGAAGCAGCGGATCCTGGGGCTCCGGTAAGTTATCATCACAAACCTAATTTTACGTGGATTTCGCCAGAAAACTTCCTAATGTAGGTACTGGTAGACACTCATTGACTCTCGCGGTGTGACTCGTGGTGCCTATCGCGGGTTCGGCGACATGTACACTTGGGAAGTACCTGCGAGTGAGTTGAAAACGGGTTCGAATACACTCGTGATGGGGGTGATTGGGGCAGGGGACGTTGACTTTCTCAGTGCCAACTACATCGTCGATGCAGTTGAGTTGCAGGGTAAAGGGGGTTCCAGGAACGGCACCTAGTCATATGCTTCTCGACACCAGCGGCGCTTTGGATATTAGAAGTGAAGACTCATGTGTTTTTATACATTCTATCACCAAATTTACTTTCCTCACTCCCAAAGGGTCTGTCTCAGGACTGCCTTTCAGTTGCTTTCAGCTTTCCAATGCCTGCAAGTTGGCCGCAACCTATCTCTTCTCATTTTGAGCTGGCCTGTGCAGGTGTCGTCAATATCACTTATCCGTGATCTTTGAGATGGATTCGAACAGCCGAGGGCAACAAACGACACTGACAAATAAATTGGGCAAGCCGCAAAAGAGGTGTTGCTTAACTAAAGTCACTGTTTGAGGTAGTGATTATTTGGATCTGCCTTCCATTGTGTTAAAAATGTGCCGAAGCCTCCAACAGCTTCCATGCTATCCCGGTCAGCAAAAACGCAAGCTGTGAAGTTCCCGAAACCGAGAATCGAACTCGGGGCTATGCCTAACCTCTCAAAGAGATAATAGGGCATCATGTTGGCCCCTACACCATATCGTAAGTGAGGATGTAGTCTTCACCCACCAGCAGCATTCATAGACTCCACCGGCGTTACGGATTTCTTCATATAACTCCAGCTGCCTGGCTAGGTGGGCGGCCGATCCTTCAAGACGTTCTACCGCGTATGTTCTTACTCTGCTCTGGAATAGAAATTATGATTGCCGATGAGATGTTCTATCTCTTTGTCTCTACACGCTAAATTGCGCACAGTGCTGTCTTCTTGTATATAGAAAGTCCATGACTTCAAATTTACATTCCCATGTTTTCCTGTCATATCAAGACTCAGTTGT